GAAAGCTACACTCTGAGGCCACCGAGGAGCTCCAGTGATTGTAAGCCATGTTGTCAGTCGATCAGGTTTAGCCTGTCGGCTAGACAACGCCTGTCAACCCTACACCACACAACCGCTGAGCAGTGAACAATCACATGTGCACTGTGAGTGTCTGTGTGTGTGTGTGTGTGTGTGTGTGTGTGTTCCACACTCAGCAGCTGATGAATTTAGAATCAAGTCTAGCTACATTCAAGTAAATTATTTTTACATTTCCACAAATATAATTCAGATGTTCAACATTAACTCGTGATGCTTGCCTCCATACATTAAAGTGGGTTCAGCATGGGCCTGGGCGATAAAACGATAACGATAAATATCGCAATATGATTTTTGTCAATATAAATATTAAAAATGTTCGATAAAAGTTCAATAGATTTAAACCTGTAATTACACCATCCAACCACAGGGAAACGGGGCGCTAATGCACCTTGAACGCTAATTGCCACCCGACATTAAAGAGAAGACGAAAAAGACTACGAACAGCCAATCATGTCGCAGGGATATGGGTAGGCGGGCTTACAGACCTCAGGCGTGGAAAGGAAACAGCCGAAATTAGCGATAGCTACTCTGAAGAAAACGCAGAACCTACCGGCTCAAAGCGTAGTAAAGATCTCTGTTAACTGTGCCAAAGAGAAGTGCAGCTAAAACGGCAACACCACGAACCTGTTCCCCCATTGGAAACAATACGACCCGTTAGAACACACCAAAGGAAATAAATCTCCAAATTTCATAAACTAGTGTTAGCGTGGACCGTATTGTAAATAAACTGTCTATGCTGTCACTGTCTATAGTGAGTGTGACTCCCAGCAAACAAACTGTCATATCAGCAGTTTTCCAGCTCTGTGCACTGAGCACGGATGAAATGTTTCTGTTTAATTACAATTCGTCATGTTCTGACAATAAAGAATAATTAAACCATAATTAACCATCTGGTTTCTTCAACTTTCACTCAGGAACAAAAATCGGCTTTTAAATTTGAAAGAAATAATGATTGACAATTATCGTGATAATTATCAATATCGACTGAAATCACATTTTTTATCGTGATAAAATTTTTTGTCCCATCGCCCAGGCCTAGTTCAGCAAACCCCCGTTATCTGTCTGTGATCTGGCCTCACTAACCCTGACAAAGGAGGTCACGCTAAGAAGTCACACCAAGCTGGTCATCCCCTTGAAATGTGAACCCAGAGATTCTATGACGACATTTCCACATAAGGGGCGGAGTCAGCAGCATTTGACCAATTACACAGATGAACAAGCCAGCTGTCACCAGATCACAATATTTCACCAACTCTGTGATATCAGAAAAATATGATATAATATGTGTCTGAGAGTTTAGGTCATAATCTTTGAGCCACAATGATGTGATGAGGACTATTACCGCCATCAATGGGGCACACAACATAACCGCTATGCTGACGACACTGTGATGAGGACTATTACCGCCATCAATGGGGCACACAACATAACCGCTATGCTGACGACACCCTGACGGTCACATCTAACTCAAACTGTAGCCTTACATAGCTGTGAGCATGCCTTCAGATTCCTTTAAGCTTCTCAAATAATGAATAATGGAATGAAGTCTGTTTTTTACAAAACACAAATGCACCAATAATTAAATGTTTTCTTCAGCTAAAATCTAAATATAAACGTGTTTGATGGAGTTTAAAATATGTGGACCATTCAAATAGTCTGAAAGTGTGCTGAATTACTGTAGCCCACTCCCCCCCCCGTCCTCTGTGTGTGTGTGTGTGTGTGTGTCAGGGTAGGTGAATTTTCCAGCAGGAACAGCTGTGCCTGTTGACATTTAGTAGGAGATCACAGAGCTCTCCATATGTGCTCACACAGGCTGTGTGTGTGAGTGTGTGTGTGTGTGTGTGTGTGTGTGTAGGTTCCTGACTGACACCAAGGCCCGTTGATAAAGTGAGACATTCACCTCATATTTAAGTGGTTCAGGAAATCCTGCCCTACATGACGAACAAGCTCCTTTCATTCATTCAAAAAAAGACGAAGAGAAACAACTTGTTAGTTTGTCACGGGGAAAACTTTCTGAGATTAAAAAAAATAAAAACCAGACGGGGAACGAGGTGGCTGGAGATGTAATCTTGTTAAGTTAACTTAGTTGAGGGATATCAAGGGTTGATCTATTGGAGATAAGAGGTCTTTGTGTTGTTTAAGGTCGAGTCTTAAAATAAAATGAAGATAAACAAGGCATCTCAGGAGTTTGAGTGTTGCATCTCTGCCTGCGTTCGATCCAAACGGGTCTCAGACAGTCGACAAAAAGCAGCGTGACATCATCTGATTACATCGTCTGTTTGCAGAAGTGATCAATACAAAATAACAGACAACAGAGTAAATAAATTCAGCTGTTTTTAAACCAGATTTTGCAATAAAAGAAGTTAAAAAGAAACTTGGTTTTATTAAAAAAAAATGGGACTGCACAATATTAGAAAATGATGTAATGTACCGTTACAATCTTGAATATTTGGATACAAAGTTGAATAAATCAACAAATACTAAATATTGCATCACACTGTTAATGTGTGTACCTGCTGTTCAACATGTTTTACACAACACCTGTTTGAAACATATCCCTCTTCAATCCAAATAACCCCTCACCCCTCACTTTATTCATTATGTTAGAACCAGTTAGAACCAGTAAATCTGACGGGAGCTCACCACTATCTTATCTTCATGATAGTGAATATGCTGAGAGTTTTTTAAAAATCATTTAGCAATAATTGCTGCAAATAATCATAAAGTGTTGATTAGCTGATTTAGCAATTAGCTGATGAACAGACAGGAGTCGTAACATTGGTCCATTCTTTGGTCCAGAAAGCGTTCGAACTGAACTACCTGGAAGCGAGTTCAGTTCTTTAGTCCACACCAGAGTTAGTTTGAAATTCACACCATCCCAAACCAAACAAACTACCCAACAGAGAGCACCAGAGTTTGTTTCAAACGGACCAAACGACTTACATGTGAATGCACCCTTAGGAAACTGAAACAGACTATTTTTAATACTTTTTCTAAATTTGATAAACCAGGACTCAACATTTTATCAAGAAAATCTGATTAAAAAGCGTGCAGAGTAGTGGAAAAGTTTGCTCAGTATGTTCATGTTTACATTAAGGGTGATTTAACATTTGAGAACTGGTACAGATTCGTATTTTATATTCCTCAACAAATGGATAAGAAATGAATAAACTGCAGGCACTATGTCGGCTGCAGGAGTGAAGCCTTCAGCCTGCATCCTGGCTTGTTTTTCACACCAAGAAGGAGCCTGTTGCATATTCAAATAGAGAGGCTGTAGATGGAAAGAGAAAGTGGGTGAAAAGAAAATACATGATTGTACATATTCACAGCTCACATCTGGAAGCCTTTAGGGCCCAGATCCCTCCAATTTCCTCCTCTGAGGGTTTTTTTCTGGTCGCTGCATTAAAAAGCAACCAAATACGTAGCATGAAAATGAGCCACGGTATATCTTTACCCAGCTGACAACACACACACACACACAAGTGCAAACAAGCACTATTATGTAACCAGCTCCAATCAATCCCCATGATTAGGTTATACTGACATGTTTATCCACACTGTGCTCCGTCATTAGCATGAGCTCCTGAACTGTTTCTATGTGTGTGTGACTTTTAGCACGCTGAATCTGTGTGTGTGTGTTTGACAGACAATCCATCATGAGTGTTTGTCCACTGAAGCCTCGGCTGTCCCCGTGTTTACTGAAGACACAGAGGGACAGCGTCTCAATGAAAGGCAAGAGACAGACGACACAGAAAAGCTCACCTATGTCCGGATCCTCTGCTACCCAACACATAACAATACAGGAGTAACAACAACTCTTTCTTGGGAAGTACTGCTACACAGACCAAACAAAACATGCATCATATCCAAACTTGCACTTTTGGCTTGTTTATACAAAGTTATGAATGATTTCACAGGGCACACATAGATGGTTTGAACCAAAACTTGCATTAATGGACAATTAAAAGAACTCAAGTTTGTTTTGGTGGGCTGAACAAATCTGAAACTTGTAGCATTTCTAACATAAGGTTATTAATTACTTGAAGTAAATGCCATATTCAATCTTGCAGGATATAAACTTAAAAGGGGGCGGGGGGGTTGTCCTGCTGTTTATGTAAACATTACCATTCAGCAGTTTTTCCCCCAAATAAAACACCACAACTCTGTGAAGCGCCGTCTCTCTTCATCCAAGACTTTCTTACGCCAAATCGCATTCGAAAATTCCACATTTTTACCAAAAACTGCAGAAAACGATTTAAACATGTATGTTTCAACATCATTTCAACTTCATAAAAATACCACGGGATTGTGCTGACATCTTCGTCTCACTTTATCCATTAAACTTGACTTTGTCGAGATATAACAACTTATTGGACTGTGATGTTCAACAAGCTGCCGCCCACCGAGGTGTACTTTGTTGTTAAAATGATGGTGGTATATAAACGCAGGGTCGTTTTAATAACTGAGGTTTTTATAGAATAAAAAAAGCCTGGACAGTGTTTTATACACTGCATGACATAATTATGACAACAATCATGAGGTAATACAAGGTAATACAAGTATTACGACATAGTTTGAGGATAAATTAAATGCCTTTAGATAAGTTTCCCTTCATAGTCGGAGCTAAACAACAATCCTCCAACTAAGAACTTTTAGCGATTTAAAATTGGATACACACACATTTCTATGCATAAGAAGCTCACAATGTCTGGATCCATATCAATAGAACTTTAATGAAGGTGTGTCTGACACTTTTGTATTATCGACACACGGGACTAGTCCTGTCCGCTCCTTTACTACACCGGGATAAGCGATTCAAGCCTTTTTCTGTTACCTCGGCTCAAAACGAGGCCTGCACACCAATAAGGACTAAAACAGCAGACTGTTTGAACATAATGAAGGAAGCGGGGTCGCAAACTCACCCTCTAAAAGCCTGGAAATCAGCGAGTCGACGTCCAACTCCCCCTCCGCCATTTCTGTAACTTCCAGCTCTGCCCGCCGCAGTCTGGAGCTGGCGGGGCAGGCACCGCCTCACCGCACACAAACGCACCGCCAACCTCCTCCCACTCACGGGCCTCCCATTTAGGACTATTATGCTGCGTTCTCTGCGCCTCGGATACTCCAGCTTCTGCTTCTTCTTCGTTCTTTCTCTCGAAAAATAAAGACTTAAAGTTCAAACACATTTTTAATAGAGCGTTTGTACATTGAGACAGCTAAAACTAAAAGAGCGTGCTTTACTTTGAACTAACGCAAAGCTAACCTTGTCTGTAATTGACTTTCTTATGAAACTGTAGCATATAAATCTGAATATAAACTTCCATTTGTATATACTCTTCATATTATATTGTATTACATGATATGGCTGCACTTTTTGGAATGCCGGAAGGTCAGAGGTTTGATCCCCAACTCCTGCAGCCACATGCCCGATGTGTTGTTGGGCAAGACACTTAACAACCCCAAGTTGCTCCCGCTGCTTCGTCAGCAGCATTATGAATGTGTCACACACAATAAGACCTGTTTCATGGATTAGTTACTTCTGATGGACTCTTTACTCAGCAGCCTCTACCATCAATGTGTAGGTGTGACCTGCGGTGTAAAAGTGCTTTGATTAATCAGAAGACTAGAAAAGAAATATACAAGCTCAAGTCCATTTACCATTTACTTTAACAGTACCGTCGTATTGCACTGCTTGGCACCGTACCGTTATCGTATCGTACTGTGCATCGCAACATATTGTATCTTACTGTATCGTACCTATAGGAGCCATTTTGTGTTTATCGTTGGCATGTTGTATAATTAGATTTATCTGAATATATTATTTTCCACTAGGGACACTGAATGCACAGGGGCGTGTATATATAGTAGCACAGGTGACAGGAAAGGGAAGGCACAGGTAGGGGGAGCACAGACAGTTCTCACCAGACCGGCATTCATGTTTCAGACCAGCACTCAGACAAACTACAATTCATTCATTCTACTGGCTACGCTTCACTGGAAATGTTTTTTCTTCTCATATCTCCATCAAGTCACTTCAATAAACCTTCAACTCAACTTTAATAACGGCTGGAAAATCATTGTTTGCATCTGCGTTCACCCCTACCTGTGTATTAATGGCAATAATTAGAGCAAAGGAAAAAATTGGAAAATTGCCATTACAGTACCGTTTCATATCTTATCTATTCTGTTTACTATTTCACATTTTTTTATGTTTCATATTTCTACTTACCTACTTGTCTTTGTGTTGCTGCAATGCCATATTTGTCCTCTAGGGATCAATAAAGGATGATCTTATTATCTTTATTATCTTATCGTACAAAAAATGTCACAACATCATAATTATTAAATTTATTTTCAATTCAAATAGATATTTAGCTACAAAAACTATCATCACCGTTATCATTAAACATTCACACACGTTCATTATCTGTTAAAAAAAAATCCCAATTTGTTACTCACATTGATTTTTGTTGTTTATTGCTCTAAAAAAACTTGTGATTTCCAACAGTACTTGAAGGCATCAGTGTAAGCAGAACGTTTGCAACACGTTACTGTAATAGTTTTCATAATAATAATAATAAGAGGGTTCATTCTAATATATATTTCAGACAATCAGCTTTAATTAACTTTTAATAACTTTATTTATTCAGCACTTTTCAAATCACTCCAAAAGCACCATCAGAACAAAGCAGAGGAACACAGACGACAAAACCACCAAACAAACATGTTAAAGACCCCTCATCAGAACCAAACAACAACACTGACTACTTACATATTCCTCAGGTCAAGTTTCCAACAAAGGAAACCGGAAATGGGAAAATGTTTGCAAATAGATGCACTTTCACCTTTCTGTTAATGTCAGCGGGTCCTGATTTGTTTGCACAGAGCGCCCTCCTGTGGCCAGAATGCGTCACTAAGTGGATTCTGTGACTGTGCCTGTTTTTAAGATTGATTTGGTATTTAGAAAATAAAAAGCATGACTCCTTTTAATGCAATCAACTGTTAAATGAAAGAATAAATAAATACATAAGTATGGTGGCTGGTAAGTGCAAACCAAAATGCCATAATATGAAACACTTTTGCAAAGCTTGAGACACATTTACATTTTTGTACACATTCTTACATTTGAAAAAACACAATTACAAAAGCAAAACCTTTTTTCCAAGGACAGAACAAAGAAAACAAATTGAGAAGATGTGACAAATTTACAAACGACAGAATCTCGGCGGAAAAGGATTGTACCAATTGTGGAAGTACACTACGATACACGTTATTGTCCCCTTGGGTAAATTTGTCTTTGACTCAAAGAGCTGCCAAACATTCAGCTGCTTCCACTCGAATCAATAAATAAAAACAATAGATAAACACATCCACACATAAACAAAAAAGGCACATATCAATACAGAACAACACAAAATATATTGCACGAGATCTGCAAAAACACAGCATGAGAGATCAAATAACAAAGGTAAGATAAAAAGCATACAGGGACACCATGACGCTATGGCACCTGGAAGTGATTGAGTGAGCCGTCATTTTGTTTGTTTTGACATGAAGACTGTGAGAAATGTCTTATATGGACTTTATGTTGATGAATGATGTTTTGTCCGTTTGGAACCCACCTGAGGTAGTAAGCACAGTCTTTCCGTCAAAACAAATGAATTGATGGCTCACTCAATCATTTCCCGGTCACTTCCAGCATTTGGTAAATTCCCTTTCTGGCACGATGCTGGGGTTTGTAAATTTGTTTGGAGACTGGCAAAAGTGTTCTGTCGAGTGATTTGCATCTTGTAAATTTGTTTCTAAAATGTAAAAATGTTTACCAAAATGTAAATTTGTCTCAAGCTTTGCAAAAGTGTTTCACACTATGTCATTTTGGTTGGCACATCTCAGCCTCCATACATATGGGACAAACAAAGAGCAAAACTTGTCTAAAGAAGACATTTGTGAAAATTAAGAAATTGGGCTAAAACTGTTTGTCAATAGATTAATCTTTTACAAAAAAGTTCAAAATTGAGTTTGAGTTTGTTATATTTGAAACAAAATGTTTAAACACTACCTGCCTGGGCCCCATGTGTGGAGGTTTTGGTCCTTCAGGTGGGCGGCCCAGGTTCAGGTCCGACCTGTGGCTCCTTCCCCGTGTGTCATTTCCAACGCTCTCTCTCTCCCTGATTTCCTATCTATAAAGGCCCAAAACGCCCAAAAAGAAATCTTAGAGAAAAAAAACAAATAAGATTGTTGGAGGAACAGAAGAAGAAACATCACAAATATCAAAAAGATAAATCAAGTGGAAATATTCCTAACCTGTAGCCTTTTTAATAATCTTCAGGCGTCATTATTCCTAGAATTTACTGCGAGTGAACAATTTATGAAATACGTAAAGGAATCTTGTTTCAAACTTTTGTTACATAAATAAATAAATGTAGTATGGCCTTGGATGACACACTGAATTCTTTTGCACCAGTAGAGTAAAAACTTAAAGTGTAGCTCTGTGTGTGAATGAAACACTAAAGAGGGAAACAACCTCAGCCTGATTTGAAGAAAACTTCTACAGAAGAAAACAGACTTTATAAGTTTAGATATAAAAGGTGGATCTGGTCTGAGACTTTCTTCCAGGTCATGACTGAAATCAGGAGTTATGTTGTTGCCTCTCCCACTCGCAACTCTTTTTTTTCTCTCTCTCTTTCCTTTCAAGTGCGTCATCTGGGTATTTCCGCGCTGTTTGAGTGGGTGGTGGCAAACTGCACTGCAGAGGGAAAGCGACGGAGTTCAGCCGCGTAAAGTTAGCGGCAGGAAACCGGAAGTGCCCCACTTTTCTCTTCAAAACAAAAGCGTGAACTTGCGGAAATACAGATAGCTAATATGAATCCATACTTCAATTAAAATAAATATTTTATGCTTGAGTAAGCATATTTATTTAGCATTAAATTTAAGTGGGGGGTAACTTAAGAATAGTTCCCAGGGATACATTGGTAAAAGTTAATCCCTATTTTTGACATAGCCTATTGTTAAATATTTCTTTAAAGATGAGAAACAGAGAGGCAAAATAATCAGACATTCACATTATATACAATGACATGAAATGAAAAAGGACAGACAATCTTCTTTCGTCATTCTTAGGGTTAATTTTATTGCTTAAAAACAATAATCTACTAAACAATGGACCAGACTTCAGTGTTTTCAAGACCTCCTTAAATTCATCAACATTTATTAAATTATATCAGTGTGCATTGGTTTAATACAACAACTTTTTTTTGCCACCTTTGCAAAACATATTTGGGGAGAATGAGAGTTTTTAAAAAATAAAAGATATTCTTGTGTGCACGATAAACTCTTGAGCATGTGTCATTCTGCATGCATGACGATTCATCGACATGTGCACACCGCCTGCCTTACTGCATGCTAAATACATGCTCTATATTCAAGGGGTGACCTGCGGTGTAAAAAGCACTTTGAGTAGAAAAGCGCTTTACTTGTTCAAGTCCATTTACCATTTACCAAGTCAATTTAGTGTGCACCCTGCCTCATGAGCATGGCATATTTTAACTTCATTCCTGCCCATGTCCCTTTAGGGGCTCTGCAATTAAGTTGAGTAATTAAAAAAAAAGTTTTTTGTCGACCCGTTAATACTTTAGGCATACGTCATAGTATCCTACTTCGGACTGAAACTATTAGGCTATAAAAAAATAAAATACAACAGTGAGTTCAAAGTATTCTGATTGGACGAGAGGCATTTCATGAGAGCCGATAAAGAGTACAATATCACGGGGACTTTTCACAATGTGTATCACTCCGCCTGAGCCAGGTGTTATGAATACTTTGAGTTAATGTCACAGCTGACAAATCAAAAATACACTAGACTCTGTTGTTGTTCTTCTTACCGGAAGTCTTTGTGTTTTGCATTTCCTCCACCTTCACCATCTGCACCGTGCCGTACACAGATGTAGGTGGAGCAAAGGAGGCGACAGTACAGCCCTGTCAAGAAGTTTTTGGAGAGTCCCCGCAGTTCGCCTTCTTCTTCAGAGTTTAATATCGGAGAAAAACAAAGGTTAGAGACTCGGAGAGGTGTACACAGAGGAGCGTGAGTCGGACCCGGACGCAGCTATGGACGGTAAGTGGAGCTGGATTTGACCCTGCTCGGCCTGTTTACAAAAATCTTCAGAGTAAGAGTCAGGAGGTGAAACTGTAAAGTGTTGTGCGCACAGGGGAAAGCCCCGCTACCACGGAGGGTTTGCGCATAACAGGAGGGCTCTGCTGTTCCTGGATTGTAAACTATAGCATTAAGAAGCAAATATATGACGTCACTTTGTGCCTTTTCTTATCCCGACTTAACTCTCATAGTTTATTGATTCCTCTGTGTGTGAATGTCAAATGGGACGGCTGAACTCAACAGTGACGAGCTGCCAAAAGGCCTGTTGAGTTCAGTACAACTCATGGATTTCATTTTTATGCCAAACCTCATTTAAAGATGAGCACATTTATGACTCATGAGCTCATTCATGGAAAAACGCGATGTAAAATTCAAATTTGAAAGCTACACTGACATTGTGGATAATTTATCTTCTTATCGGCTAACATGTTACCAACAAGGCAGCATTATAAACCCGTCATATTATAGTTATTGCACACCGCCCCCCTTTATTCAGCTCAAAGGAAATAACAGAGACGAGACGTGACACGAGCTCTGTCGTGGGTCAAATGTACGCCGATGTACAAAGCTCATTCTGATAATGTATAAGTCGCCCACGCTTCTATTCATATTACTTGTCCTTCTGCCTGCACGTCAAATAACATTAAATAGGCGGTTTTTAAAATGGAGTTTGGTACGGTGATTCCCCCCCCCCTTCCCACTCTTTTTCCTTACCAGAGCGCACAAAGTAGGCTGACAGTGTCAAAAATCATGGGTTAAAACAGAAGAAAGACACTCAACATGTGTTATGACTGAGCAGTGACGTCATTGTTTATTTAATAACAGTGAAAGCGCCACCACACATGCCAGAGATGTGTCTTGATATTAGCCACATTTAGGTAAGATATACATGTACTTTCACCTTCACAACAGTGGGATTATGAGGTGACACAAGTGCAAGGGGTTCTGTGTGAGTTCAATATAAATAATAAAAATTAGACATGTTTTCTGCAATCTGCTAGTTTGGTCTGAGCCTGAGAAGCGAGACATGTTCCAACTTGGAAAGCATCCAAACCATGCTTTCTTAAATGAAACAAGTCCTGCTGGCTGCTGGGTGGAGCCCTGACCGCCTCATATTGTGTCACACCTGACTTCTGAATCTCGACAATTCATTAACTGAGAACCTGAAACCAGATCGCTCAGCCGCCTCCTTCTCTTTGAGGCAGGTGATATGACACCCTGCCCGTCATTGTTTACTGTGCTTTTCACTACTTCTTCTTCTTCTGTCCGGCCACTTTATGATGAGTGATTATATTCCGCTGGGAAACCCTTGGTGTTTCAGCAGCAGCTTTTGACCTCTTTGGACGCTGCGCTGTAGTTTTCCACCCTGACAACAACACAAATGACAAACTCTTACTAAACCACAAATATGTGCTGGAAGCTGCTTTGGTTTTTGGCATCTGTGTGTCATGAAATGTAGATATAAACCACTAATTGCTTTAACCTGTAGTTTACAAGGGTCCCTTTTTTTCTTTTCTGTCTCCTACAGGTGTGTATGGATGGGGTCTGCCCCCACTCAACCCAGGTGAGACGCTGCTTCCCTTAAATAATCCACGTTTGGGAGAAATCAGTACACATATGTTGACTGTCCCTTTAGCAAACATTTGCAAAATTCAAATATATGTGTGTTGAAGTTGTGTTAATCTCAAAGTCCAATCAGGGAACGCCTTCATAGAGATCATCGAGCAGCCCAAGGCGAGGGGGATGAGGTTCAGGTACAAGTGTGAGGGGCGTTCAGCGGGCAGCATCCCCGGAGAGAAGAGCAACGACACCACCAAGACACACCCAGCCATCAAGGTGAGGGGGGGGGGCAGATTTCAGAGCGTGTCCTCTCGCTCGTATCCATTCAATGCCTCATGAAAACCTTACCTTTACTGTCATGTAACAGCCACACTGTTCAAAGAGTTCAACTATGTTATGCTCCAACTCTCTGCTGACAAGCTAAGATATCGTTGCTAAAAACAAAAAAAAGCAAAATTTCCTTAAACGATATTCTTATTTAAATTACATCAATGTTGCTGAAATGCTTTTTCACTTGCTGTCATTGTTTCAAACTCACACGTGTTCAAAGCACTCAAAGAGAAATCACAATTTTGTTAAATAGAAAGCTGCACGATCGACTAATGCAGCTGATAACGTTTTGATTCTATCTCGAGGACGCGTCATGTTTGTCACTCCTCAAAGTCGCTCTGTCTTTGGTGAAAGAGCTTTTAGTATGTTTGGTCTGGCCTGCAGAGTCCCCTTAAACTGGAGGGTTTAGTTAACTTGGAAGATTTTAAAAGCAGGATAAATGACAACTGTACATACATGTTTGTCTTCTGAACGCTTCTCATTTGTTTATTGTCTTGTCTTTGTTCTCTGTCTGAAACTTTCGGCCAGGACTGTCTTGAAAAAGAGACCTCATATCTCAACGAGGATATGTTCCTAGTTAAATAAAATGTATTCGATTGTTAAAGCCGGGCAGGGAAAAGACCAAAATGGAAGACTGAGAGACATTCATAGTTTCTTCAAAATGATCACCATGTAGAAAATGATCAAAAGATGAATCAAGTGAAAATATTCCTCACTCTTAGCCCTTTTAATAATCTTTAATTGTGCTTCATTTTCTTCATTTCCCAGCTGAATTTACAGCGTGTGAACAATGTGTCAAACGTTTGTTTTCAGAATTCAACAAATATTACTTGTGTTACACTAAACATTACATTGAGTGTTAAGATGGTTTTTATCGATATCTATTAGATGACACGGCCTTTTAAACGACAGGAAATAAAGTGAACGTTTCGGGGCAGAGGCTGAAGATGATGAACGGCCTGCCTTTATTAGATAAAACACAAAACATCACGTTAATCAGAGGCAGCTTTATTGGCTGTGTATGTTAGCATGATAATGTTTTTAGTCACTGAAACTGACGCCAAGTTGTGACTCATGATCCTCATCAGGGTGTGTCTACTGGACTCATCTCAAAAATGATTAGCACAACAGAAAATGTCAAAGAAGTGCCAAGTCTCAAATATCAAGAATTCTTCTCTAACTTAAAAACACAGTTCATTTGGGTGATTCTAAATGAACTGTATCCCTCCATTCTGATAAAAGGCTGAGAATCCAGTGAGACATTGGGGCCTCTCCAACCAGCGTTCATCTTTATTATACATTATCATATAATTCCTCGTAATGTTCCTTCAGTTATGTCCATTGACGATCTTTATCACAGCAAAAATGCAAGGGATGCTCAGTAGTGCAGCCGGAGTGAGTGTTGTCAGATGTTTCTTACTGTTATTGCGTAATGTGTACATTTTGAGCCACTGCTGCGGTTTCAAGTTTGTCGACCCTCGGGGGGGGGGAGGGGGGCCCTACTAGTCTTGAGCCCATAGCAGTTGCCTACCTTGCCTGATGACAAGCAGCGCCTCTGTGTACACTCGTTTGTGATTTACAGAGGTTGGAAGACCGCCTCGGGGAGTTCTTGGTTTCACATCGGGGAACTCTGCCGTGCGGGACAAGCCGTTTAGCGCCCTTTGCAGACTCATCCTGGGATTACTCTGACAAACTTTTACCTCATGATCTGAAACTTTGCCCATGTTTAGTCTGGGCATCAAGCTTTCTCCTTTCTCTGACAGTAGATTGGATTTAGTACATTTCCATTTCCTTTCAAGCAAGTGCATCTTTGGCGAGATCAGTACCACACAAGACCACTGAAAAAATTAACCCCATTTTCACATTTCCTGTTGTCAGTCTGTGAAACTTTGCAGCTTTGCATGATTTTTATCTGATTCTGGTGTCAGCCTCATTTCAGCCTCTGACTGAAACTGTTTGTTTCAGCTGCTGTCTCTTTAAGGCCCAACCCCTCCCCATGAGCCCACTTTCTTCTGATTGGTCAGAACGCTGCAGGGCTGCCAGGGGGGAGGGCTGCTCTCCAGTGTTGGGAGAAGAGAGTCTATGTAAGAGGTTTCACCGGCTTACGTAGAGTCTTGAAGCTGTCTGGTGAAATTCACTGAACTATCATGTGCCGTTTAGCGCCCTCCTGGGATTACTCCAACAAACGTTTGCCTCATGATCTGAAATTTTGCCCACATTTAGTCTGGGCATCCAGCTTTGTAAGATTATAAGCAAGTTTTAAAATGGGGATCAGTATAGTAGGTCGACTTGCCTGCCTTTAAGAATCTTTAAAATATTACAAATCTCTCCCACAGGTGCACAACTACAGCGGCCCCCTGCGTATTCGTATCTCCTTGGTGACGAAGAACCCACCACACAAGCCCCACCCCCACGAGCTGGTCGGGAAAGACTGCAAACACGGATACTACGAGGCCGACCTGCAGGAGAGAAGAATACACAGGTAGAGAGGAGAGTTCATGTCTTTACTACATGTGACAGAAAGTGAAGGTTTAAAAAGTAGACAGAATTTTCTCGGGGTGGAAGCTGCAGCTGTGATTCAAAACAAGGCAGCATTTGTTAGAAAACTGACCCAGATAAGGACAGGAGACGGTGTGTTTACTGTCGCCTTGATAAAAGTTGACTCCAGTTTCATCCTGGGTTTGGAGATGAGTTAAATATTAACTCCTGACGACGAGAGGAGGTCACGTCTGCTCACCAGCATGACTTTAAAACCATTACATTACATTACATCAGGTTCATTCTAATGGAAACCCTTACACCAAATCAAGTCCAGCCCTTTAAATATTCATTAAAAAAGAAATATATACAAAAGAACCGCCTGGAAAAACAGAAGAAGGATGTTTTTTGCGAGTAGAGACGCTGCCTGTAAAGCTGTCAATGTCCTTTTTATTGCTGGTACATTGTTTGATTCATAGAGGGTAACTTCATTTTACAGCACCTTTTAAAAATAGATGTCAGAAAAAAACAGGAACTCATGATGAGCATCGATACTCAGAACCACCAGAAAGTAGTCTGTAGAAATTCAAATTTTTACAAACTGTAAAAGCCAAAGATCAACAAGAATAAATGCAAATGAAGGACTGGAATAAAAACAACGAGAGTAAGGTTAAAGATCATAAGAAGTGGAGACATGCATAGTTTGTTTAAAAAAAGGTTTCAACCCAGTCTGTCCAAGCAGATAACATCACCTCTTAAATAAACTCAAAGAGCATCGCTAACTTTACAGGTCTGATGAAGGACACTTTGACATTTAAGGTCTTTTAGAAAAGTAATGAACCAGCCTGTATTACATCATAAGAGCGCTCTACCTGTGCGGAGGGAAGCTCATGTGTTTATCGGGAGTGTGTTGCAATTCAAACAAACACTGTGTTCTGCCCTCGGCTGTTAGTGCTGTGATTCAGGGTGAGTAAGTTTACCGGTTTATATCACTCGGGTGTTTTGATGACATGCATTTCATCTGTAAATCGTCATCACAATATCAGCTGTAAGCCCTAAATAAAGATCTGTATGTCCTGTTCAAGGCAGACAGTTTCCTCTGAAATAATGAGTCACAGGACATTTAAGCAAGAGAAGCAAAGATTTGTTTATTTGTCTCTTGTTGAGTACATGAAGAAAGTGGGTTTACATTTTAATTCACCACAACGTTTCGACCAGAGGTCTTCAAGTGTTCATTTTTGAACGCCTTAAGAAAACTTCAGAACCCAGAGAGAACCCACACATGCACGGGGAGAACATGCAAACTCGGCACAGAGGGGCTCCTGTCAGACGGGGATTCAAACCAGGAACCTCCTCGCTGTGAGGCAACAGCGCTAACCACTGCGCCATCGTGCTGCCCTCTACTAAAATATGATTAAACAAAACACTTATTTTAAATGATTAAAGTACTCAAGGCTCCACCAATCAGGACATATAAGAGAAACTAAATATCAACAAGTAAAAAAAAAATCACAAATGAATAACCTCCTTGAATTATTGGCTGCTAGTTTTCAACAGATAAACAGATAAAAGTGAATGTCTGTTTATGAAACTGCATGATCACCAGTACTTATCTGCAAAATGTAACCATCATGATCCTCACATTTGGGCAGAGCATTTAAAGTGAAGTATTTTTCTACTTAGACTCAGCTCTCCTTAAATTGTCTTCTTAACTCGCGGATGTGGTCGCTGACCCGCAGTGATGAAGCGCTATTATTTTTAAATGTGTTTTTTTTATGGGAGAATAACTGACCACAGTGGAAATGGAAAGTGGTTGTTTTTTAAATCATGCTTATATGTCGGATTTTCTTCTGTTGTCTCATTATAACACACACGAGACTATCTTATAAAATACTACAGCAGTGGTTAATGAAAGAGGACGTGCATGCTTCAGTGTGTTCTGCCTAGTTTCGCTCTGACACAGTGTGTGCTTTCAGTTTTCAGAACCTGGGCATACAGTGTGTGAAGAAGAAGGATGTGAATGAGGCCATCGTTTGTCGGCTGCAGACCAATAATAACCCCTTCAACAGTAAGTGATCATGCTTGAAATTGAGTGTGAAGCACAAAGCGCCATCTGTCTTTTTGCCCTTTTTCTGTTAAATCTGTCATTATAGTGTGAAGAGTTATCTCGCATTGTGGGAGGAGTCCCTGAATGTCCCAGCCAAATGTAAAAGACCATTGTTGAACTAAAACTGATATTTAAAGGTGCACTATGTAGATTTGGTAGTGACATTTGAAAGTTGGAGAAGTAAAACAATTCTATGCTATATTTTCTGAACTGAATACACAAACTTTATTCAAAGTAAAAAATGGGTCCTTGGAACAATGTTTGGAGCTAAAAAGCTACCAGGAGAGTTACGTTTTCACTGTTGCGGAGGTAGAAATATAGCTTTAATAGAACTAGGTAAATAGGCTGTTAGGAGTTTACCTTTTATCGTCGATATTTTAGTAACTAGTTAACTAGAAAGTTTGCAGTTAAGATTTTTTATTTGCACAGTAAATAACAAGATTGACAGAAAGCACAAAAACTCTCAAGCTTTAGGGTTATCTTTTGTGACCTAAAAACACACAAATACACCAATATAGAGTTAAATAAATAACTGGAAGTGTGGTTAGGGTTAGATTAATATTTTGACTCCATCTCCTTCTATTAATAAAACAATAATCATTCTCAAATGTGTAGCTAGTTTAGCCTTTAGCTTTGGTGTTTAGAAAGCCAGCTAGCTTGTTAGTTAGCAAGAGAATTCACAAACTCAAATGCAGGAAATTGTTTTGATTAGTCAAGAACAGGTTAATTGTATTTTAACCACACAAAGAATATTTATACAGTTATAATTACAGGAAAGAAGTGTGACTTGTTACTTTCCTCTTCGTCTGCTGTTCATATACTGATAGCATACATGTGACAGGATGTCAGGCTTACTTTATCTGTGGCCTGATTGTGCACTCCACCCTTCCCTCTGTTGTGTTTTTGGCTGCAGTTCCTGAAGCGAAGGTGTGGGAGGAGGAGTTTGACCTGAATTCAGTTCGGCTTTGCTTCCAGGCCTCCATCTCTCTGTCCACAGGGGACTTCATTCCTCTGCAGCCTGTGGTATCGCAGCCCATTTATGACAACAGTGAGTGCACAACACATCCACTTCATACCAACGAGTTCATTCTGAGTGTAAAGGACTCAACTGCATGCACATTCTTCCATTCTCATATTAGCACTTTGGGGTAAAAGCAGCTGATATTAAGTATTACAGCTGCAACTGTTAATCTATCGACTGCTTTGTTAACTTCATCTGTGTGAATTCATGTTTTCAATGGAAAATACTTAATCTTTAATTTCACAGACTTAGATCAGCATATTTTCCAGTTTCATCACTCCTCTGCAACAACAAGTTGAATACATGTTGACAAAAATAGACATGTCAGGATGTCATCTTGGGCGAAAGGGAAACTGTGATTGCCATTATTATGCATTTTCTGACAATCACCATTAAATCCGGTGTAGAAGTCGCACTTTTAATACCTATGCACTGGTGTGACCAATATTCCAGTATAAGATACAGACACGTGCAGCCGCCACTATCAAACACTGTACTCCACCCGACATGACTGAAAATGTATCCCCAGTCGTTGTGTATTGGAAGCTGATTTCAAGCTTTGCTGGGATACAAATAGCGACACAGACCAGTCTGGCTGTGCAACTTTTTAACATCTTTTCTCCGTCACCAGGTTATAACCATCTTAAGCATCTTAAGAAAATGGTGGTATATACATTGATTGGAAAACTCCTTGATTAAAGTTAACAATGACCAGCTGCGTTGGGCAGCACGACTCACAGGCTGTGGGTCTGTACTTCACAACTTTCACTGAAGGCTGAGAGCTCCATACCGTACTGCAGCTAGTAGGAGCGCACACTCCATGAAGCAAAAGCAGATGGTACTAAAAGAGCGACACAGCTGCACAGAAAGTACAACGCTAAACACAACAGAAATGGTCACCCAGGACGACAGTTGAAACCTTTTTCTTTCTAGGAGACCCGGTGGTAGACAAATAACAACAGATTAACCAACAATTACAAAACACCCCAGTTGTAGCCCTAGGGACTGTGCATGCTTTTTCATATCTTTTAAATCACATTATAATAATATTATAATAAACGCATGACTTTTCTCCCGTATTTTAGCGTCAGAGTAAGCTGGTCAACTTTAAGTTATTTCTAATTAAACATCAGCATTTCAGCCTTTACATCTCCTGCAGCCTGTAGTTCCCTCTGACGTCTTTGTTCCTCTTGCAGTTTTACTTTTCTTCTCAGCCTGAAGGTATTTACAAGAATCACACAGCACAGAGGCTCAGTGGTTAGCTCGTATATATATAACAAGAAGCTCCTGTGGCCTGTTGGGTTGTGTTGAGTTTCTCTGATCTCAACATATACGTTATATATAAATGATAAGAGTGAGTATCTTTAGTCACTGTCAACAGCTCTACTTAGACATTTGGAGACAACTTGAAGAGAAATGAGTCGATCTTGTGAGTAAAAAATACTCGGGAATAAATCACATTGTCATAATATAAAGTATTCAACACTCACATTTACAGAAATGAGTTTAGTCAACAATAGTTATCATATTCTCTCTACATTCTCATGTAGTCGGTACATTTTTAGTGGGCATGTGTCATTATAGTTTGCATGATTGATTCTGTTTGTTTTATTACGTATTTTACGATTATTGTAAAGTGCCTCATACGGAGCACAGATAGCCTAGCGGTTATGTCGCGTGTCTTATGTACGGAGGCTGCGGTCCTCGTCACAGCGGCTGTGGGTTCGGGTCCCCCCTTTGCTACGTGTCGCCCTCTACTCTTTCCTCTCAGCACTTCCTGTCTCCCTTCACCTGTCCTGCCAAATAAAGGCAAAAAGAAAAAAAGTGCCTCATATACGTGCGTGATTATGGCACCTCCATGGAGAACTGGAATTGCAAAATAAAGACACATGCTTCATGTACATTCAAAAGAGAATATCCTGCGGCGCTCTCACATCAGCTCACTCGGACGTGCTGCGGAAAAAATACTAAAGGGGTCATGCAGGAGAAACTGCCGGTGAAGTCAGAGTGAAAAATTCAGCGGTTTGCGTTCACACATACAGCTCTTACTGGAAATATCCAGAGTTCTCTGCGCGTGTTAAAGATCGATAAAAGGAGTCTATTGTCAGTTTACAGTATCGTGTTTTAAGAGGATTTTGACAGTTAATCTGTAGCCTTGTATATCTATTCATTCACAAACTATTTTTTTTTTCCGTCTCAGGGGCCCCAAACACGGCCGAGCTGAAGATCTGCAGAGTCAACCGCAACTCTGGAAGCTGCAAAGGGGGCGATGAAATCTTTCTGCTGTGCGACAAAGTGCAAAAAGGTACATTACGATAATGACTGTACTGTATGTGCATTGAAAAACATGTCGCACAACACTGAACACCTACTTTCATATTTCACTTTCTAAAAATAGAACGAAGGAGTGAGTAAGCAGATGTGGAAGCTTGAAATATATCTGGAACGGAAGAGGTGTGAGCTTTTAACACCTACCATGTATCCATTGCAGTGACAGTACACAGGACCTTCTTCTACTTAGAGCTACAAATAGAAGCTTAACTCTCAGAATAATGTGTGTTCTGCATTCTGCGATTACCGAGAAGTCTGTAGTTGCACATTTGCTTTCAATGTTTGCACAGAGTAGATGATGAAAAAGACAACCCTAATACAGGAGCAGCACAAGAGAAAAGTCTTAAAATGCTTGTAACAAAATTCTAGAAACTTGAAGGTTTACAAACATCCATCAATAGAGTATGGGACGGTGGGTAGAGTTGGAAATCAGAGAGAGAGAGAGTGGGGAGTGACATGCGGGTAAGGAGCCATGGATCAGATTCAAACACAGGCCGCTGATTGAGGAGTACAGCCTCTGTACATGGTGCGAGCGCACTAACCACTACGCTACTAGATTTCACTGTGACACTGTAGGATTGTGGGTATTGTAGTTCTTTTTTCCAAGAGCTCAAGAATAAATTGTGTTTTTTGTAGACTGAAGTCGATATCATACACAAAACTGAATGTTAGTGCTACTTTATTAGAGTTGATGTTATTTATTATAACTTATCAAAATGCTTCATACTGCAATATCTGTCTTTCTGTCAGATTTGCAGTGGGGTGGGGAATAAAATAATCATGGCTTCTAGTTTGAATTAGAAACCTCTCTGGTCTCAGATAACACTTCATGCATTCAAACAGAGTGAAGTGATTCTTTTTTTGATCACCATTATTTCCTTCACAAGATGTTTTTGTTGTGTGTCGGTGTTTCGTGTCTGTAATATAAAACAAAACAGTTGCATGGTCTCTTTGAGTGACTTTAATCATGAATCAAGAACTCTCTTCCTCTATTTGGACGTCAACTTCTCCTTAATCCTGCTTTTCTAATAGATTAATGACACGCTGTACGTGGAAAGTGGCAATTAACTTCTCACCACTGTGTTCCTATGCCTGAAGAACCACCACTTCCTGCATGGATGTTTATCTGCTGATATAAACTCCAAATCTGTAACTTTGTAAAATCAGCTTGATCTTTTCCTCTCTTTTATTTTCTTGGTATTCCTAATTGACAAACAAACTTCAAACTTCTTAAAAACTAAAACGAGTCTCCTATAAAGCTCAACAGTGTGATTCCAGAAGTAAAAATCTCCTTCATTTTCTCCATAGCGGATTTATTTATCAGCCATGATGTCATAACCATCACAGGTAGACTGACCACGAGGTACCTGAGTGTGAAACGATGGTCTACGCTCCTTTAGGAGACACAAAAGTGTTTGATATCAATCTCGTTTTAAGAAAAACACGGTTTATTTACGATATCTGGGAGAAGAACTACACTACCCAAAATCATAGTGTCACAGCGATGTCTCTGATTGGTGGAGCTCGCTGTTACCATGGCAATGTTTCCCGCCCCTATGTGCCGTATGCGAATGGACAGTTTTGCTAGCATGCTAGCTAATTAGTTAGCTAACAGGAAATGTACTAATAACCATGTTACACAGAGATGAATGTAGTTTATATATTCAACAACACGAACTACAAGATAGTTCAACACGTGTATTAACAGTATAAAAACGATAACGACTAAAGTTACATTTTAGAAGAAGAGGTGTTACTCGCAAGGATTGTGGGACGGGTAGTTCCTTGACTCCAGAAGAAAATAATGTACTCGGTCTTCTACCTTTTCCTCGCTTTTTAATGCTGTTTTTGCGCTGAATCAAAAGGTTTTATAGTCACTAATATTGGTGTAGCTGGTTGTCGTGGTTACATGCTTCAACCTCTTGATATCAGGATATTGTGAAAATACAACAAAGGATTTATTTGAACAGGAAAATTTACTTGCGGAACCAGAGTCTCAGAAAAAGCTGGCAGTCACTGTTGACCTCTATTGCTGTTGTTGTTTGAGTTTGATTATTATTATTAAGTCTCTGTGCTATTTGTTTTGTAGTTCAGTCGTGCAATGCTCCCCTGAGTGATCAAAGGTTCAGACTGAGTCATGGTGCACATTACGTCATCGTATTACAAAACCCTGTGAACTCTGAGACCAGGACTACATGACTTAACAAAACTTGTCCTGCTCTCTCAAAGAGTCTGTCTTGTTCTCCTCACAGTGGAAACATCCCAGTTTTACTTTAAACATACGTTACCTGAAATTTAACAGCTGCAGCTTTCTACAAATATCTCAAATGAAAAGCTAACTCGTGTCTTTTTATGCCCAGGCCCTATACGTATATGTGTCTAAATAATGAAAGTACAAAAGTGTCTTTAGTCACACACATTACGTTGCTGCATTCTCACATCGGCTCAAACAACACTAGGGGTCTGACAGGAGAAACTCCAGGTGAAGTTTGCATTTACACATACAGCTCCTCCTGGAAACATCAGGAGTTTTCTGCATGTCTGAAAGCCCTACATAAAGAGTCTATTGTCAGTGTATGTATCTTCTTACATGTTCCCATTTTCTGTTTCTCTGTAGAGGACATCGAGGTGCGTTTCTTCCAGGACTCCTGGGAGGGGAAGGGAACTTTCTCCCAGGCTGACGTGCACAGGCAGGTGGCCATTGTCTTCCGCACACCTCCGTATCGCGACACCAATCTCTCCGAGCCCATTCGAGTAAAGATGCAGCTCCGCCGGCCCTCCGACCGCGAGGTCAGCGAGCCCATGGACTTCCAGTATCTGCCTTCTGACCCAGGTAAGTGGCACACTGCTATTTACGTATGAAGCTTCTCATGAAAAGGTTTCTCTCTTATCTTATCATGGCTTTCTTTGAACCTCCCGTGTAGATGAATACAGGCTGAGTGAGAAGAGGAAGCGTACAGGCGACATGTTCCAGAGCCTGAAGCTGGGGCCCATGCTGTCCACTGGTGTGTTGTTGATGGCATTTAAGAGTAATCATATTCTCTTTTTGTACTTTCAGGGTAATTTAATGTTTTCTCTGTCTGCATTTTAGTGTCCATTCCTCAAGACAGACGCCACATAAGCCCGGCGAGGAGAACGGTCACGGCCAAGCCTCCATCAATGAGCGCACAAGCCGGTGAGCGGTGCTACAAGTGTTTATCACAAAGCTTCAGTTCCGATGACTCGATAAAAGGCTTTTAATAATCTGCTGTTAATGAATAGAACACAGCTGCTGTTTTCACAGTCAAATAATAGATCCACCAACCCGCTGAAAGAAGTCCGCTTAATTTACCATCGTCACGTTTATTGTGCTGAAAAAAGGAGCAGAATCAAAAGTTTCAAATGGCTTTTATATTGAAATTCTTCATTAGGAATATCCTCTTGAGATGTGTCATCATGTTCTCGAGGGATCCTGCACAGTGTCATGTTGGACATGTCAATCCATTTATTGATTCAAAAAATGAAGAAAAACAAATAAACAACACGTTCCCCTCGTTGATTTCTCACAGTGTGCCACTCTCTGAAACCATTGACCTCTAGTGTGCAGCACCTGCTGATAATCAGCATGGGTTCACGGTGCCACCCAGTGGTCAGACAAACAAATGAAAAACACCAAAATGGCTCCAACATGCAGTATACGATATGATGTATGTTAGACTTAAACACCTCCCATCTGCTCCTTATGACCCTGTTAGGATTTATTTAAACTATTACTACTTCTAAAAGTCAATAAATATTTGTTTATTTTACATGGACACATCTAATGAGCATCGCTTCTTATATGAAATACAAAGTAGAGGCCATGCATTCTGGTTTCTAGACATAGTGTCCCCTCTCCCTGACTCAGATGAAAACAGAAGCCGTACAGACTTAGTGATACTGTACTAATACTTCTTCCTGTTTCTGTTTCAGTGGCTTTCATTGATTTGTGGATCATTTCCTCTGTAGTGAATATTTTTGTGCTGTGAAAGATTTTCATTGCTTTTCATGTTTCTGTTGTGTAGTCCCCCCAGTAGCTGTGGTGCCCCCTAGTGCCGGAGCAGCCAAACTCCAGCCCTCCTACCCCTACAATCAGCCAGGCCAGCTCTTCTCCGTCCAGCCCAAAGTGGAGTCCTCCCCCTCCATCTCTGCCACGAGCCAAGCATGGAGGATCATGGAGAGCCTGAGCCTGGGCACCCAGCCCAAAGCCACCCCAGTGCCCAACTTCACAACGAGCCAGCCACAGGCCCCCACCTCTTCTGCGACTACATCCACCGCCAACCAGGAATTCTCAACCGTCAACATGTCAGACCTTCACAAGTACTTCCCCATCATGTCCTCGGCGATCGCTCAGGAGCAGGCCGCCCCTCACGGTAGCGTGACAGCCTCGCAGGCGGGCGGCTCCTTCACCCTGCAGGGCTCTCAGTTCCCGGTGGATTCCCCGCTCTTGGACGACGATGTCTCAGGGTTCCCGAGCTTTGATGAAACCCAGGCCCGAGGCACTCTGGACAGCCTCAACATGGATGACTTTGAGGACCTTCTGAACCCTTCTCTCATAGGCGACAGTGGAAACAACATGGTTTTATCTTCATGCCAACAAGCTGTCCCTCCCTCTGCCACTGCACAGAACGGTGCAGCCGCATCCCAGAACTCCTTTGACCCGACGAGCAACCCGGGGAGCACCTGGATGAATTACCCCAACAGCATCGTCAACTTGCTCCAGAACGAGGTAATGATCGACCTCCCACCCGCCAACAACAACCACAGACCACCCGTCCTGGACGAGTTTGACGAGCTGATGTCGGCTGATGAGGATCGTCTCATTTCCATCTTTAACAGCGGGAGCCAAGCCAGGTTTGCCTCAGGACACCCGACTTAAAGTTGGTCTGAGCGACTTCAAGACGGACAAATTTACAAGAACCACTTGTATCTGACTCTTTTAGCTTTCAGAAGTAAACTCCTTTATAGTCAATAAAGGAACCAAGGTGGATATGGAGTCCTGGAACGGACAGGAAGCAGGGACAATGCGAACTGTGGAGGTTAAAATACTGGCAAAGACTCTTTGTGGTATTCAACAAATTTGCCAGGCATTATATAAAACAAATGACAAACCACAGGACTAAACATCAGATTGAATTTTCTTTGCTAAGCTTGTGTTTAGCATCAATCATGAACTATTTTAACCACTGTGTCATCGGATGTGTTCTGCCTACAAAGGCTTGTTTTATAACGACAATCGAATCAGGATCCTGTTCAAGAAAGCAAGATTAGTCAACGTTCAGTATGTTAACTCTGAGTTCATGTAGACCTATTCTGCTGATCCCCATTTTAAAACTCACATGTAATGTTACAATGCAAACGATACCCAGACTAAACGTGGGCAAGGTTTCCCAGGATAAGTCTGCAGAGGGCGCTAAATGGCTTGTTCTGCAATATTTTTCGCGATATTTCCCCCAATATGAAACAAAGAATTTCCCCAGCCGGCTTCAAGCCACTACACAAAGCTGTTGAAACCTTACATAGACTCTCTTCTCCCAGCACTGGAGAGCAGCCGTCCTCCGGCAGCCCCCCAGCATTCTGCCTCCAATCGGAAGAAAGTGGGCACATGGGGAGGAGGGCCTTAAAGAGACAGCAGCTGAAAAAAACCCAGAGGTTGAAATTAGGTGTTTTTGTAGACGCCAGTATCAGATCAATAAGGGGTTTGTTGTGCTACAAATTATGCAAAGCTCCTCTAGAGGTTTCACACTGACTACAGGAAAGCTAAACATTAGGAGAATATAGGATCTTTTAAGAGTGGTGTTACCTAGTAGGAATACATTTCTTCTAGTACCTAGGAAGCTGAATTATAACCTATTTAGTTAGTAATGGTGGCTACGCTACCCCCCCCCCCTTTTCCCACAACACTGTAAAACATTACACATCACATTTCACAGTAATGTTAGCGAGGAAGTGGTTGATGCTAACAATGCTAATGGTAGCATTTATACATCCTTAAACCAGTACAGCAGTAGCTAATGTGTGACCTAAAATGTTTGTAAAAAATAAGGCTCTTAATCAATATTTTTATGCAGCTTTTTTAAACACACATTGAAGTCCTTATGTTTTAAAAAAACGTCTTTTCAGCAGCAGCACAATCATCCCTACAACATTATTAAAGCATATATAGACCAAAAGGAGACAGACAGAGGATGGGAAACTGTTCAATGTTTCTTAAAATGTAAACGTCCATTTCCCTCCACACAGGGTCGACAGATTCACTGTTGTTTTTCCTGAATCGAGGCCCGTATGCATCGCTGAAGTCTCTCTAAATGTTTTCCTGTTGGAGTTATTTTCTGTGCATCATGTGTAAGCACGTTATTGTACTCTGATTTTTAAATTGTTTGCTGGCTCAGGTCAGTGTTAAAGTGGTCATCACAAGTCTTTAAGTGGAATGTGTTGCTGTAGACGGCCTCTTCTCAGAAAGCATTTAATCAGCTCAGAGGTTAATCTATGCATCATCCTCTTCCTTATATGATTTCAGAAACGTATAGTGTTTCTGACGGTCGGCGGTAACTGGAACTTGAGCATGTCCAGTATATATTGGACGGCAGATCGGGGTTATCAAGGATGAATCTGTTTCTTTTGAAGGTGCCTTAGTTGAGTGTCAGTATGATGTGGTAATGTTTAAAGAACCAAATGAAGGTAAACATGTAAATAATAAACAAACAAGCAACATTAATAAGTAAATGCTCATAGCAGAGAAGAGGTTCATGGAGCTGTATCATTTTTTTTTTTTTGTGTGTCTGGCGACGTAATGTTCTCTAATGAGTTGTTGGCTGCCGTTAAAACTCAAACGTCTCAGCCTCGTTAAACAACTTGCTAAACTCTGTAGTAAACAGACACTTCATCACAATGATTTTGTATAATGATTTCTTGTAAACAGTGCTATGTCCCTTTTAATGCCACGATGTATGGTTTTTACAGTCCTGCAACACTTTGTCTCGCAATTAAAAAAAAAAACACAACACATTAAGATGGCGTTGAAAGGCTGACTTTATTTGGCAACTCTTGTTATCTTGATTCAGTACAAACCCCAAATATATATATATAAAGCCAGAACGAATGTAAACTGTAAAAGAGGAAAATTCTTCATGGGAGGCGGATTCTCCTCCCGGCTTACAAATCAAAGATCTCTTCAGACACTTTGTCCGTCAGGTAAGTGTTCAAGTGTTGAAGGTAAAACCTCAAGAATACGAAAACTCATAGTACTCATGAATGCAATAGATTGAATACAAATAAAAAAAGGGACAATATCTCGCTTTGAAAAGATCACAGAATAAGACTTATTGTTGCAACAAAGGAAGAACTCGTGGTCGAAACTCAACCACTTACTTTCAAAATGATTTAAATCATCAACTCATCACAAAGTGCCTACTCCATTATTTGTCCTGCAAAAACTATCCTCTTCTCCCAACAGGCTTATGTGACTTCGAGGTTGGTAACTTTGTTTACAATGTGTGAACGCCTGGGTACGCACTCCAGGTCAAATTTGCTCTCATAGATGGTGGGGCAAATCTTCCAGCGGTTGTTGCGGTAGATCCCCAGGTATGTGTAGACGTCCGGCTTGTAGGTGAGAGGGCATTTGACACCTGTGGCACGGATGACCGAGTCCAGCCTTATGACCTCATTCTCCTCGGTGAAGTTCTGATTATAGGCGCATATCACCTGTCTCCCCCCTTCCTTGGGATTATTGGGGCTGACTTTAACGAGAGAGATCTTTCCATCCAGGGCTGCTCTGGCCACACACTCCCAGGCATTGTCCAACTTGAAGCCAGGGTCCAAGTGCATGAGCCACTTTCCTGTGAGCACCCCGTGGTTAAGGGCCAGCTCTTTCACTGTCTGGAAGGAGATGGGTCGGCCACTGGCTGAAAGTTTCTCCCAGCTCTCCTGGAGGCCTGCGACATCCCCGACACTGGGGCAGTGGTTTGTGCCCAGCACTGCAATCCACCCCACGGGGCTGACACCCCCTTCCTCATCTCCAAACCTGTACACCTGTGAGGGCCTGTTGCTCTCCAACCAGCCGTCAAACTCAGATCTGGGAGTTCTCCTGGAGTCAAACACAATCCAGGGGTCCATATCTGCAGCCATGGCTTCAGCTGCATAAGTCTCTGCAGCAAAGCGGGTCTCCACCTCCCCTTCTACAGGGCCCTCTTCCTCCTCCATAATGCTGTCTGTGTGAGACTATTGAACAGATCCTGGAGCCCTGTTGAAAGGAGAATTATGTTAATGTTGATATTAAAGCTTGAACCACTGGTGTGTTAGTTTATCATACTTCAAGGCAGGGGAGGGTTACAATGCTGCTAGCTCGCCTGCTACATTAGCAAAACGTGTTTAAAATACTCATATTCTCGCTTATTCTTTCACAATAATAACTCACCACTCCTTCCGTTGTGTAGCATTTAAAGTTGTAAAGAAACATACAGATTTAAACGCGGGTTTGGTCATTTTTAATTATGTGGCGCAGGTACCACAGGAGTTAGCATGCTAGCTAGCCGCATGTTCGTCTTCTTAGTCAATTTGGTGAATAAAATGATGATTTACAGCCAAATGAAACGTAAAAAACATGCGTTATTTTCGCTGAAATGATAGGCATTATGTTGCATTAATGGTAAACTTTAGTCTTTGACGTACCTAGCGGGGTTTTAAGTTTGTTCTCCAGTGTTGTTGTTCAGCTCAGACGCCGCTTCGCTCGGTGGTTTTGCTCCTCTGGACCAAAGAGCGATAACAAAAAGACTCAATTCAATGTGTGACAGTTAAAGAAACATTATATTGTTTTGTTTATTGTTTCATCACACACACTTAAAATGTTTTGTAATTCGGGGAAATTCGGCTCGCAAATAATTAAACGAAACAGTGCTATTCTCAAATTAATTTACACAATTCTGGAGAAGAGGATTATTTAAGCTTTACAAGCTAAAAAAGTTACTAAATTATATATGACGTGTTCAATGACTCTTAACTCACTTTATCCTACCAGAGATATGCAAACACGCGTTTACTTTAATCATTATGTGTAATATCAAATTAATCTGCATCGCATTGTTTGGTTAAAAAAATACATATCAACACAACTTTAAAAGTTTATTTTTTGTAAAAGCAGCTGGATAGTGAACCTCGAACCTGACGGCGCTGTGACCCTGCGGAACACAACCAGACGAAAACCATGCGTTCAGGTGCTGCTCGGACGCTCAGGTTTCCCTGGTTGGGGAAGATGTGTAGACGAGCTTGAAAGTCGTAATGTGTAAAGGTGATAAGATATATTTATTGACACTGTACAAGTTTGAGCAAACCTGAAGTTTCATAATAGACGTAATTATATACAGAAAATGTGCAAATAAAACCCCAAAACATACGAGTACAAAACCCAGAAATGTTTAATCATGGAAGCGATGAAAAAAGTAGGCTGCATTTTAATGTTTAAACCAAACAAAGCAACTCTTCTTCGGCTATAAATATGGACACCATTATATACCATATAATACTTTACAAATAAAATCCTAAAATGTTATTTTAAATTGATAAAAAGGTTTTTTTTCACTAGAAGGCCAGCGTTCACTTGTGTCTTCCGTATTTTAGTGTTACATTTATCGAAAATGTTTCCCGGCTCGCCCTGTTGTTCTACTGACTTCAGGGAAGCAATCACGCGAACGTCCCAAGCAGAGAACACTTTTTTCCGATTATTCTGTCACCACGCGAATGCAGCGAGAGAACGAGTGACGACGACGAACTGCTAACGTGTTAGCTCGGTTAGCTGCTGCTAGCTAAAGTGTATGTGTGTGTGCGCGGCGGAAGAGGCGATTAATTTGATACAGAATAATTCTCAATAATATTCTGAGTTGTATTTTAACTGAGCCGCCCAAGTTAAACAAGTATGCCCAGCAAAAAGAAGAAATACAACGCCAGATTCCCTCCGGTAAGTTAAAACTTTACCGAGCCGGTGTTAGCTAACTTCTTCGGCTAGCTTGAATGAGATTCGGCCTGTTGTGTTGCCTTAATGGTTAGCAACCAACAAACCAACACATTTACATCCTAATGTCAATAATAGTACACCATTATACAAACGCCATTAGTTCCCTTTACTTAGCAGAGTAACATAGCAACATGGAGATTGTTAGAGCACTTTAAAGGCGTTTAAATGAGTAAACTAATTAACCTTGTTTTTAGCATTACAAGCTAATAACTCAATGTTATTAATATGTTGTCTGTAGCTGCACATTTTAAACAGTTTTGATGCACATATATCTTAAAATCTGTGCAGCATGATTGGATTTTAACTTGCATGAAATTAAATCCCTCGTATGTGTTGTTTTGTTACTAAATATCATGAAAAAGCATGTTTATTTACTCTTACAGGCTTTAGGATGATGCACAGTATAATTATATTTGTCCACTGTACCATTAAACTAAAGGTTTTCTCCTTCCAGGCGAGGATTAAGAAGATTATGCAGACAGATGAAGAAATAGGCAAAGTGGCTGCAGCAGTACCTGTAATTATTTGTATCCTTCCTTCAAGTTTTCCCAACACACCCGACTGTTTGAATGAGGTTAAAATATCATCTGTGTATCAAGTGAAGAACCCCACAGCTCATGCTGTGATTGATTTAGCTATAATAATAATAACTTTATTTATATAGCACCTTTTAAAAACACAGGTTTACAAAGTGCTTTGACAAACAGCAAAAACAAGAACAAACTAAACCAAACACAGAAGAACATAAACAACAGCAAGAACATAACAAATGCAAAATACTAAAAATAATGAAATACAATTCAACAGAAAAGAACCCAAAGTGCACGATACCCAACAGACATATAGAACCCGACCATCACAAGAACCATTATAAGAACCCAGGCAACACAAGAACCCAACAACACGAGAGGACCAAAGATTTAAAAAGATGTAAGGAATTAAAAGAGCTAAAAGCAAATAAAAAGAGAACAGCAATAAGAAGGTAAGAGCAGTAAAATAAATTGGTGGTTAAAGTGGTTAAAGGATTAAAAAAAAAAAAAAAACTATAATTGATGTGATTTAATTTGTTAAGGTAATCAAGAACAAATAGGTTAAAAGTCACCTGTTGTTGTTAGGGACAACAGAATAATAGAAGCTGATAACTTGTGAAGGGTGTTTTCTCCAGCTCTATTCAATACTGTCACATATTTGTTAACCCCCCTGTGTTTCAAGACATACACATCTCTATTGACACTTTACAACTACAGCAGATCCAGACCCAACTCTTTATGTCATTTTTTTAAGACCCAACGTTAATCCAACCTTACCAAAGTTGCAGTGGTGAAGAAAAACTTCCTATAGGACGCAGAACCAGACTCACGATGAACAGCAGGGGGGATCGAGGGAGACGCAGAAAGATGATCGCTACCCCAAGCTTAAAATGAGCTCAGATCTTATGTCACATTTTAAACCTAATGCTGCTGCAAGAGTCCTGCAAAGAGAGAGCCAGCGCTTTCTAAATTGCAATATTATATTGTGTATTTGTGCAATTTAATAACAATAATACATTTATTTGCAAAGCGCTTTTCAAGTACTCAAGGATGCTTAACATTCTTTAAGAAAAATAGATGATGTTTGTCTGCCTTTTTTGATACTTAAAGACAAGACATTACCAAACACTGGGGCCTAGGACCTCTGGATTTGTTGTCACGTTATCGAAACTGATCGATATTATTTAGTATTATTTTGAAGTTTAAACATCTGTCATCGTGACAACCATGATATAAAGTGTCCTATAGAGGTGTGAGTAAGCACTGTCAGGTAGAAATGAACACAAGAACTGTAAATCTGTTGTACTCGTGATTGTGTCTCGAAAAAGCACCATCAGCCTGCTCATGATTTAATCATATGAGAGATGTTTAGGCTCTTAGCTGAAGCAGAGTAGAGTCGACCATGTGAGTGAAGTAAAGTCATGTACGTACACACACCTGCCAGTGCGTCTTCTCTTCCTTAACCGAGATGTCAGCGAGAGCCCTGGAGCTTTTTTTGGAATCATTACTTACAAAGGCTTGTCATGTCACCCAGTCCAGGAATGCAAAGACAATGACGACATCACATCTGTAAGTATGTCAGAGCGTGTGCGTGTGTGTAGGTGTGTGTGTGTGTGTAGGTGTTTGAGTTTGAGAGGGAGCTGGATAACACCAGGAAAATGATATCAAAGTTGTCGTGTGATATTGGATGCATTCAGCTAAAAAAAAAAGTGTTATGTCTTCATTTCGTCCGGATTTAGATAAAAAAAACTTAAAAGTTCCATAGTGTCTTGAAAGGGACATTGTCAGAGTACCTGAGGCTGAGTTATTGTCTAATACACCACTTTGTGTCTCAAAGTATGTCTGGTTAGTAGTCTCCTGCTCCTGTCAGTAGAAACTTACTGTGTGGGGAAAAAAAAAATCATAAAAACGACCCCTTTTATCTCTTTGTCGTCATGTTGAATTTTCCTCTCAACAACTCTTGGAGTCCATATGGAGAAAGAAGTTTCCTGATTTCTAAACGGTTTGTTCACAGGAAGCAGTGCATCGAGCTGGAGCAACAGTTTGATTTCTTGAAAGACCTGGTGGCAACGGTGCCGGACATGCAGGGCGAGGGGGAGGAGAACCACACGGAAGGCGGAGAAAAAGTCTCGCGCAGGTATCTCTCGCTCTCTCTCTCTCTCTCAGACACACCGACACATACATGTTTAGTAAAGCACCATGACTACCAATGAACGTCTTAGAGGGCTTTCACACTTGCAGAAAACTCCTGATATTTGCAGGAGCTGTATACCCCCCCGCCCGCGGAGCAGTCCTCCTGTAATAATCTAGATATTTTCAGGAGTGCAGATGTGAAAACGGCTTTAGTTGACACCAGGAAACTCAGATATTTGTTGTTATCATGCAGCCAAGGCCTTTTTCCCACTGATTAGAAGTTCCTGGGGACCTCTAGTAATTTGTTATCAAAGATGTTAAATCACAAGAGGTCCACAGATAATACTAGTTCCATCAAGTAAGGCTCTAGTTTGACTGCTCTATCTGGTCGTCACATTTATTTAAATGTGATATTCGGTCATTTCTGAACTTGCAAACAAAAGCAGAGTGAAACGTTGGACATGAATAACTCGACCATCCTCCTATACGGACACAAGACGAGCTACCTCAGCCTTTTCCATGAACGTCTGCTCCTGTAATTGGTATTGACTAAAGCAAGGTTTGTTTTGTGATAATAGATTAATTACAAAAAAAAAGAAGAACAAGAGCGAGCAGAGTTTTCAGCTCCTCAGAGGGAGAACTAATTATTGAGGATTGTAGAGAAGAAGAAGTATTGACTGTCTGCTCAAACACCGGCGCTGCAGCTGAACAGAGGCAGAGAATTTCACATCAATTAAATGAGTTGGGAGACTTTTTCACTAAAGTGTGGCTGATTGGATTGTGATTCAATTTAAAGTGGTTGTAAGCGTGGAGTATTTAGAAACTTCTCCTCAGCCGCGGTGATAAGAAACACAGCGCATCTTTGAATATTAATGTCTGAGAGTGATCTCCAGCTGAGGCAGCAGCAGCATTGTCCACCTCTCTGTTCATGTAAATTATGTTGATTAAAGCTGCGGGAGATTTTCCAAAAACCCCAAAAGAAAGTAGTCGAGTATCTGCTGCAGAATCTTGTGACTGAACCCTCTCCAAAATCTACATCCCACAAAAAGCTGAAACAGCAAGTCCCTTTGACGTAACATTGAGGGGTTCTTCTCTGTTTTCTATCCAGGGGTCGGAAACCAGGGTCCGGCCGCAAGAACGGGGGAGCCGGCTCCAAAGGCAAGGACAAGAAGTTGTCTGGCACAGAGTCAGAGCAAGAGGTGGGCGTTTTGTTATTTTTACATCAAACAGCCATCGACAGTGTGATGGAGTTAAATTTGTGCATCTCCCAAAGTATGTGAAGGAACATTTAGAGCACAGAGAAATCTGTATCATATCTGAGCTTTGCCTGCTTAGTAGGTTATTTAAACCTTTACTTTGTACAGCTTGTAGGTGAGCTGCAGCCGTGATGTCTTTGTAGGTTGATGGCTAACTTTCCACTCCGGCTTCTAGAAGTGATTGATTACTAAGGTATTTGAATAAGGGTGCGGTCACATTGGCGCCATGTGTGCCTTACTGCCTCTCTGTCAATCATTCAGATTGCAGATGGAACAGACAATACAAAATCCCTTCCTTCGATGTTCTGATTGGCTTGGTTAATGGCTGCTTGGTGCAGTTTAGAGGAGCAAGCAGACAGCAGCTGAACGCTGACAGAAACACACATTAATACGATTTATGTTTGTACTATATAAAGAATTCTTTGCATGATAATTGATCTACTCTGTGTGATGTAAGGAAAGAAACTCCACACACCACTTCTGTAAACAACGTTCAGTCAGATGTTTGAGTTCAGAAGACTCACGTGTGTTTTTGTTTTGTTTGAAGCAATATGACTCCTCTGAAGACAGCGAGACGGACGGAGACGAGGAGGACGGCTCTCAGTCAAGCACAAACATGCCGGCTGCATCCAGGTTCCAAAGGTAAGGAGACCCACCACGTGTGTCCAGATTCTGTAGGTCCACATAGTGCTCAGATTCATTTCAGACCGATTATAGTTGAGTACCTCTCATTAGAAATAAAAAACATGTTTTTGGGTTCCCACCCTGTCAGGTAGAGAAATATAATATATAACCTTACGGCAACAAACAAGAAGAGGGCGCTGTTTTTCCACATAAACACAGGTCTCAAATCCAAATGATTTCAAGTCCAGTTTTAAGACGACAGCATGTCAATACTTGAGAAACGCTTCAGGGTTCCTGAGGGATCCTTAAAATGTCTAAAATCAGATTGTAAGAACTGAAGGTCATAAAGTTTTATCAGAACTTTTCAGTGGGAAAGTCAGGGTTCACAGGGGTCACAGGGGTTTCATACCTCGGTTTTGGGGTCACGGTTCGGGACTAATTCGGTTCAACAGAAAAAAAGAAAAGTCCTGGATGCATGGGCAAGTGTTGTGAGTCTTTGTGTGTCATATCTAGCTTTTACAAACCCCCATTGAGAGTGAGAGGGAGAACAAGGTGAGGAAACGTAAGCTCAAGGAGACATGACTTTAAGAGGAAAAATACACAATGGATGGCAGAGACAAACAATCAGCAATCGGATATTCAGAAAAGCTTTTCAACTTTTGGCAGTCTGTTGAGTCCCACATGAAATCAGAAAACCACTGACGCTATCCAGTAAAAAAAAAAAAGGGGGGTATTATTCCTCTCTTTAAGGGTTGTAAAAGGTCTAAAATTTGATTTTAAAAAGTGTGCAGCAACTCATGCACATGCAGAATTTGTTTTACACAAAAGGTTTAGGAGAGTAAAGTCGTTATATCAGCAGAGCAGCAGCTACGTGGAGTTACTTTAGTACCTTTAGGTTTCACAAATAAGGAAATACTTCATCTTTTATCACATCGTCATGAGTATCAGGACCCTGAAACAAACCTTTCCTGAGAGATGACGTTGAGTAGATGTTGCATCATTTCTTTTTCACTCTGAAATATTAAAACTCCTCTGTCTGCCCCCACCCCTCCACCATGCAGCTCAAACTCCCCCCCTCAGAATATGGACATGGGCAACATGGGCAACATGGTCTCGATGGGCGGCATGGCTCCAGCACAGCCCCAAGGCGGCATGGCCTTCGCCCCCCACCCCTCCATGATGAGCGCCGTGCCGCCTCCCCCAGCCCCCGCGCCGCACAAAAACGACGACGACGACGATGAAGACTATGACTCTTAGCTCCCTTTCCCCTCCTCTTTCACACACACACACACACACATATTCTCTCTCAACATTATTTTTTGATTTCTTAAAATGAACTTGCGGCAGGCGACAAAAAAAAAAGAATAAAAGACTCTTCATCAACGCCCTCGGGAGACGGCTCAGAACGCCAACGCTGCCGCCGCAGGATGAGGAGATAGAAACCTGGTTGTATATTATGTGTTTTAATTTTCTTTTTTTAAAAAAAGGTTTTATTTTATTGTAGAGGAGGATGTTTTTTAAACAAGTCGGTCGTTCTATCTTGAATATTAAAAACAAGGCAGTCGTCAATGTTGTCTCGCCATGAGCCCCCCCCCGCAGACAGGAGAAGGTGTGCTTTGTGTTTCCTTGTACATTTTTTTTTTCTTCTCTTTCGGCACTTTTTTTCTTTCTTCCTAAATTCTCTGTGGTAGACGTAATGGAGTGAACTCAAACCCTCAGGTTGCCTGAAAGAAATCTATAAAGTCTTATTACAACCTCCTTCAAAGTATTGGATGTATTTAAAAAAGCGATCAGCGTTCGTCAAAGGCAGAGGAGCTCGTCGTCTCTATCACTCTGTTCTGATTGGCTGCTCACACGAGAGCCGCACTTCCCGGCTTTGTCACGACTCACTGCTCAGTCCGATTGTCGGGCTGCAACATAAACGAGGAAGCAGGTGTATTTTTTTACTATCGGTTAGCTAACCGCAGATTTTTTCTTTTCTTTTGCATTACTTTCTATTTTTAATTGACGTTTTTATCAAGACAAGTGTAAACCTTTCCCCGCCACCGCCCTGAAGTCAAACATATCAGCAGGTCAGGGATTCACATCCACTTTGTTGTTGTTTCTGACGCTCTGAGTGTTTCTGATCTGCACATTATTATTTTCTACGACCAGTAAAGTCCCTTAAATCGCCCATCAGAATGATGCTGTGACTCGGACCATAACTTTGTTTTTAAAGTTGTTTGTGTCTTTTGTCCTCTCTTATTTCTACTCTGGCCTCCCCTGAATTTATTTTTTTCTCCAGTGACTTTCTCCTCCATTGTTTTTTTTCTCTCTCTTTTAGCTTGTTTTAAAGTACCAATTGAAAGCAGATGAAGACGGGGCTCCCCCTGTATGTGTCAGTCTCAGTATGAAATATTTCCAAATAGACAGTTGACACTGTATTGTAAACTTTTAACATTCTTTTTATTTTGTATGGGTGAAATAAAGTTCATATTTCAATTAAAAAAAGCTACTCTTCTTTGGGGTTTTTTGTGTCCAGACGAGGAAACTAATATTAGAATTTTCTTTTTTTTTATGTATTAGTTTAAAGGAGCAATATGTAACTCTGGCACCTAGTGTTTTAAATGGGTACTGCAGTTAAAATTCAAAACATTGTAGAGAGCGGTCTCCCCCTCCTCTCTAGAGTCGATGCTCACACAGGTCACCATGTGGTGAACACTGAAGCTTCAGTCTGTAAATCGGTCTGTAAACCTTTCTGTGTTCTAACCTCTCTCCATTTTTCAAAAACATCTCCAATATTGATCCTAGTTTGAGCACGTTTCTGCTCGTGGAGCTTATTAGAAACATGCAGAGGCTTTTTAGGTCGGGTACAATCACTTCTATCTGAACCACTTCTCTTGCCCGCTTCCATCGCTGCAACACCTGTTGACCTGATAACTGCTCTCATATCTGACAAACTGAGGGGCGTCCTAAACGGCCTGTTTGAGCACACATTTTCTGAAAAGAGGAGGATATTAGTGTGAGAGAAACATGGTGATGTGTATTTTACGTAACATGTGACCTTTAAGAAAGAGAAGAAGAAAAACTGCTAAAACAAAAAAAATCTTCTCTGCCCCCTGGTGGACTATCTGTGCACTGAACGTATCTGGTTGTATTTTAACTGTATTTATCTCAATGCAGAGGTCTCAAAAATTTATGGATTCAATATGATTCACTTGGTTTTAAAGGGTTAAAATGAATTTATTTTCAGGTGACTCCCCCGTTCATGTTTCAGTTTCAGAGGCGTGAAGCACATCCTTTGTATTCCTGATTATAAACTATGCCTCCTGACACATGTTACGTTTTCTCTCCTTTGTGTTTAGTAACATAAAAAGGCTTCCCATGGATCTCTCCGCTATTTAAATTACTCATGCAGCCTGAAGGATAAGGGTTGTTATTTACCCTCAACTTTGCAGCCTCCTTCTGGTATTTGAATCAGATAAGTGCAAGACAGTACAGGTTAGTGGAGAGGTTTTCACAGAGAGGGGATTGTTACCATTATGGACACCCATTCCACTTGGCTCCGAGAGTGTGTCCAGCCCCTTTCCTCTTCCTCCTGCCTTGTGTGTTTTTTAAACAGTCTATTTTGTCGTGTAAATGTATCCGCCCCCCTCCTCACCCCCTCAAACCAAGCAAGCAACCCTGAGCCGGGGCTGCAAAAACAACTGCATCCTTCCTGCACAAGCGTTGACTCAGCGGACTGTGAGGAGGGCGGGGTCAGCTGTGTGGGTTAGTGTGTATGGACGAAGGGAGGGCCCCGGGGGTGGGGGGAGGTGGGGGGAGGTGGGGGGCGTAGGTGGTTGACTTTAGGAGGTCGGTGCCCAAACAAATGGCCGCTGTGGGGCAGGGAAGGAGGGAGGGGAGGGGAGCCATCAAAGGGGCGAACAGAAGGAAGCACACTGTTTCCACACAGCAGCCGACGGGGCCAAAGGTGGCCCTCTGATTCCCATCCACTCCCATCGAGCCACAGACTTTTTAAGAGCTCTGCGCTTCCGTAAAAAACAAAAACAACATGGGAAAATGTGGGCAAAGAGGAATTCCCTGACCTTTCAATAAGAACCAAAGCCTTTCATCGCGAGGATACGTAGAAAGCACATGTTTAAAATGCACTTTGTGTTTTAGCCCAGCTCGTTAATAGCCTCAAAAATCTGCACCTGAGGCTGTTTGTTAAATTCTGTCTGAGCGTTTCCTGTCCCTGCCTCTACATGTGATATGTGGGATCCAGCCTAAAGTATCAGTTTTACTGTACATCCCAGCTTACCAAAAAAAAGACATTATGCAACCTCAATTAAGGTCCAAATAATGAGAATAAACAAACACACACAGTATTAAGTGTTTGAAAGATGAAGAAAAATCTGATTCAGACAATTAACTTCACTGTAGAATTATAGGGCTTTCACACTCTAGAAATCAGGAATAGTTTCTCCTGCCAGACCCCGAGTGAAGCTGATGTGAGAAGGCTTCTCCTACCTCCTCCTGTTAGCCGTAGCATTAGCTGCATGTAACGCTCGGTTCTAGCCCCCCTCGAAAAAAAATTGTCAGTGTGACGTCATTGTCAATGTGAGATCACTGATCTCAGCCCATTGGCTCGTTGTGGCAAGCCCTGCAGCTCATGTTGCAAGCCCGTTAACTTCTGTAGCACGCCCACGATATGCCGTAGCCTGCGGTAGCACAGTAGTGCTAAGGTGCTAATGTTTACGCTCCCCTCGGACGGAGCGAAAGTGGCTGCATTCCCAATATGGTAAAAGGGGCGGGACATTACCGAGAACCGACCAATTACGACAGAGCCGACAGGCCGACCAATCAGATCAGACTTGGCACACGTGGGGACTTCAGAGCCTTAGAGAGAGAGTCAGAAGCGAGCTGGTGCATGGAGCGGCAGTTCATGAAAACAGACACTTTTTTAGAACTTTAGCTATTGTGAACATACTTTAGTACATAGATTAAATATACGAACCCCAAAAAGGGCATAATATGACCTCTTTATGGCAGTCTTTCTGTCATTCCCAATATATGGTCATCACCCATTGGTTTCTGAAGGGCTGCTGTGGAAGCCCGTCCATGGTGGAACGCCTTAAGTCGGATAAGCTATTATTTTTATATTTGCGCATTATGTTTACAACCAAAAAATTTTCACTAGCCACAATGAATAACTCATTTATTATCACATTTACTCACTTACAAACCTTTGCTAACCAAGCCAATGCAACATTCGCTGATGACGTAGAGTTCGCTCACACATCGCTCGAGTGTAGCTCTACTTTCCCGTCCAAATGGTCCCTTGTGGCTCCAGAAAACCAAGATGGCTACTGCTGAAGTGCCAAACTAAACAGCCACAAACCAGTGGGGTTTAACATGACTGCCACGCCTAGTTCTGATGTTCTGGTGGAGCTAATCACAACACATTGAAATACTTTTCATTTAACTTGATTTTGCATCCATTGTTGTTAATTGTCTTGTAGATTTCGGCTCTTAAAGATGGCCGTGTCGACTATAACAGTGGAGGACCAATTGGCAGACTTCTTCAAAGTATTGCATCAGATATTTACAGCAAACCAGTCATTAGAATGGAGGTTCAGTTAAGAAGAGGCTGTGTTTTCTCGATGTTAAACCAAAAGTTTGAAGTGACAGTATTCCCTCTGCGTTAAACTTTTAAATGAGCTACATTCGACTCTATCTGATGAAAGATTGTGCGACAGTAAATCCCACTTCGACGGCTCCACCAGCTCAGAAGATTGAAGCTTTTTTTGCATCAAACAGAACAAAGACCAGTTAGCCAGACGAGCGCTAAATGCTTTCAAATGTGTTGCTTGAAGAAAATAAGCTTAAAACTCCCTTTTTTTGTTCAAAGTGAAGCCAGAGGAAAATAAAATATTCCACCGACGTCCTCTTTCAGAAACCTAACATTTAGTCCTCTTTCCTGTGACTATTGGGACAGTTTTGAGTAATCTCTCGTCCTTGAGTGTTTAGTCTGAATGTCACTAAGTCTCATCTGATTCAACAGTGTATGAAAACGGTGTTATTGTAGGAGCAGATAGGAGGATTAAAAACCATTATCATGAAAGTAGCAACAGGCATGGATAAAGCTATATTTATAGAGAAAAGGAATCTTCTATAAAATGTTTATTTTTGTTGTTGCCGTGCTTCAGTTTGATATAACTAATTATTAGTAACTCAATCTCTTTATTAAGATACAACCAGCAAATAAAGGAAAGATGTACCCAAAATAAAGAAACAAAATGTTCAGAATAAAATGGCGTCTAAATGAGTAAGCTATTTATTATATTTAGTGTAACAACCCACAAAAATAAAAGGCCAAACAGGATACAAACTAAAGTAAAACAGGAAGAACAAGGTCATGTAAGACTAAAAGACTGAGTCCTCTTTAGTTTCAGTTTGAGTTTCAAAAAGACCCCCAGTCTCAGTTTCAGTTTGAGCTCTGCATGTAAAGTAATCCACCTCGATCGCCTAAACAGAAAAAGAACAGTTTTTCCAAGTGAAGACACCGTACAGCCTCCAGTTTCTAATCAGTTTTTGGAGGGCATTTTCTAAACAATCAAGAGGACACACTCTGGATGGTGCGTGACCAGTGGTGTAGTGGTGCCTGAAGAAGTAGGTATACGCTTAATTTGTCCCCAAAATGTTTCTTTTAAGTGGCCCGTCCACCAAAGGATAAATGGCCTCTGTTAAAAACAGTGACTTTTAAGACTGCTCTTGCATATTTAGTCAGTGTGTACTAGCCAATTAGAGAAGGGAGGGTCATCCCTTCACCATCCTTGCAGCACACTACAAAATATTGTCAATAAATCAATGGGGTGAATCAGTGGAGATTTAGAGGTGGGTCACCAGTCTAAGTGGAACCATGGGGGCACAGAGCACCTTAGCAGCCTGATGATTTAAACATTTATAAGAGGGTTAAGAGTAAATGTAATAAAATGATCAAAACTAACTTTTTTAAAAACACAACAGTGATGTGACCTAATCAGCCCCCTGTCTAAGATTGTAATTACCCATGGTTAGTCCCTGTCACACCTTTACAATTTATGATAAACATTTTACGTGTGGTTGTAACAGATGATTAGGCTACTATTGAATACGTTATATGCAAAATATTATAACAGTAATACATTTTTATTATATTTGGGATTGGGAGAAAACTAATGTTTGGGTGATTTTCATTTTCTCTAAAATACTTTCTAAAATATTTCTCAGCCAACTTTGAACCTCTCAAACAACCGTGCGCTTTCCTCTGAGTTTTTTTTTTTTTCCCCCCAATTATTTGATGTTAATTCATTTTACCCCAAACAAATCATTTAGAGACAAGAATAATAATAATAGTAATAATAATAATAATAATAATAATAATAAAAATAAAAATACTGAGCTAATGATGAAAGAAAGAAAACAAGTAAAATAAAAAATAAAAATAAACAAAAACAAAAACATTCACACACAAAAAAAAGACGTAACACTTTGATAACCATAAAGCGTGCGCTTTCCTCTGAGTTTTATTTTGACAGTACTAACCGGATATGTGATGGTTTATTACACAGGAGCTTGACCGTGAGCCGGTCATCTGACTCTTTTCCTGTTGGGAGAGAAAAAAGTTTTGAAACCACACCCTCTTCACTGAGTGTAAGCACAGACGTAGAAGTGGTTCGAGGTCCTGACGAGTGAAGAGAAGAGACCGAGGAAGAGGAATATGATCACAAGTTCTCATGGACTTATTGCGCTGTTTGGATACCGACGGTAACAAAATAAAGTGCGTGTTTCTCTGTGGAAACTGTATGGATAGCTCTTCCTGTTACAAACTCGTCTGTTCACTGCGTTGTTTTTTTAAAGTTGTAAATCCCAGCTCGTAAGTATGGAGTCTCACGCGGTAAGGGATGCGGGATTTCCTGCGGGAGCGCCGCAAAGTTGCGTGCAGACGCAGTTATTGGAGGTTTGGGCTCAATAATGCGAGCTGCTCAGCCCTGAAAGTTGTCGTAAAACACTGGTTGGCTGGACTGAATGCTCCTTTTCCTGCTATTCTTCTCCACTTCTCAGCGCTTCCTGCTTGTGCTGGCCACTGCTCTTAATGGCTAAAAATACATAAAAACTCCAAATGGACAGCTGAACGTTGTGGGAACTTTTGCTATATGTTGTGAAAATTATACAGCTAAAGTTGTGGACGACTTTTCTTTTTTTGTTCTCTCACCCTGACTGACTCAACAGGTGGCAGTTTTTGAATGAGGGAGAGGAAAAGCTAATTTTCCCTTAATGAGAGGATTCAGGAGCCTCTTAAATACAAGCTGGTGGAATGATGCTTTGGGAAACCACATCACTTGAACAGAGGGAAATTCAGTGAAAGCTGAGCTTTTAAACTTTTTATGAAATTAAAGAAATCTCTTGACTGATCAAGCTTTTGCATTTCATGTCAAGACGAATGAAAGACACTTGCCTTTCGCTCATCTTTCAATCCTCTCCTCAAGCCCACTTGTTGGTCGAGCTTTTGAACACATTTCACTGGTCCCTGATGAACCAACAAGAAAGACAGGAAAGGGAGCGAGGCGCAATAAAGTACTCCTTTGTACTTTATTTTCAAACCCTTTGGGTCCAGAATCAGATCCAGTCAAAACATCTGCTCGAGGCTCCATGGAGCCGCTGAAGAACATATTCGGTCGAGGCCCGCTGTCCAACTGGAAAAATTTGGATCAATCACAAAAAGGGAACTTCACCAACCCTGTGTGGACGGCCTTGTTCGACTATGAGGCGTCCTGTAAAGATGAGCTTACCTTGCGTAAAGGTGACCTTGTTGAAGTCCTGTCTCTGGACTCGGAGATATCAGGGGACGAAGGCTGGTGGGCGGGCAAGGTCAACAACAAGGTGGGAATATTCCCCTCAAACTATGGCTCCTTCAAACCCAATGGATATGGGAAGCTTCCGGGTACTGCCGTGGTTGGCGAGCTCAGTCCGGTCGTGGTTGGCGAGTTTGAACCTGACGCGGTGGATTTCCGGGAGCTGAGTTTGGAGGAGGTCATCGGGGTCGGGGGATTTGGAAAGGTGTATCGTGGTACATGGAGAGGCGGGTTGGTGGCTGTGAAGGCCGCCCGCCAAGACCCCGATGAGGACATCAGTGTGACGGCGGAAAACGTGAGACAGGAGGCGCGTTTGTTCGCCATGCTCACCCATCCCAACATCATCGCCCTGATGGGCGTCTGCCTGCAGGAACCCAACCTGTGCCTCATCATGGAGTACGCCTCAGGGGGGGCGCTGAGCCGGGCGCTGGCTGGACGCCGCATCCCGCCGCACATCCTGGTAAACTGGGCCGTGCAGATAGCCAAAGGGATGCTGTACCTGCACTGCGAGGCCATCGTCCCCGTCATCCATCGAGATCTCAAGTCCAACAACAGTAAGTCCTTAAAACCTGCAAATCATTAACTAACCAAACCAAGTCCATCCTCAGGCGTCCGACATGTTTTCAGTCCCGACTCGGCAAAAACCACAGCTTTTACTTCATGACACAATGCCCCAAAATATGCCAGACACCCTCTTGCATCAGTTTTGGACTCTAAAACAAAGCGGCCATATTGGCAAAAAAATATATAGGCATCATCTGCTTGGTGATCTCATAAAACGAGAATGATCCCCTTAGATATGTGATACCTGTTTCAATACCACGGCAACAAAAAGAGAAGTCCTGTGTCATTTCTTGATTCTTAATCCCCAAGAAACTTTAAACAAACTCCTGCTCAACGTCTAAATTGGACCACAAAACATTTCCAATGTGTTTGTGCAATTTAGACAGATCTATGTTATAGATGTATGTTCAATCTGTAGAGATAGATAGGTAGATACACATTTATTACAATAATATCTCAAACGCAGTTATCAAACACTTAAGGTTGATGATGCTTGTTGTAGTCCATATAGCGCCCTCTGCTGGCGACAGAAAGAGAATGAAACTCAAATGAAATGCCATTTGACTGGTGAGTAAATCTCGTAATATCGGCGCATATCGGCAATAAAAATTAGCCGATACTGATAGTCACTGGATATGCTGATATCGGCCGGCTGATAAATCGGTCGGGCTTGAAACGGGTTTATTTTTTTTACTAGTAACACATCAAAGTTTAAAATGCTGGTATCATGACAACCCTCTGACAAACGTCTTTATTACACTTTTAGTGTGACAACATGCCCCATGGCAGAGTTAGAACACAGTGTACTCCTGTATGTGAACGCTTCTCTGAGGGTTTAGAAGGCCATGTCTTCAATTAAAAAAAAGTCAGCTTTCAAACATTATCCAGTTGAGATATTGTCTCCAACCTGTCATCGGTCCAGGGTTTAATGAAGTGGTTTCATGTTAAAGAGTTAAAAATGATGACTAGTTGTACTACATTTCCTCTCTTTGGATCGTGTCCCAGTCATGCGGCCTTCCCTTATGTTGTTGTTGACAGCATAAAATGCCACGATTTGCTTACAAAGGTCAGGAATTCAAGGGGAAGCTTTCTGTCTCGGCGTCGTCATAACTCACACTTTTGGACTTTGGTGCCTTTCGGGTGGTGGGGGGGGAAGTTTCGCTTCAGTGTTTGGGGTCCTCGCTGCAGACACGTAGGCATTGGACCTTGTCATTAAAGCCACACTGCAGAGCGATGTGTCCCCTGATAGCAAGCTTTTTCCGTCTGCCTTTTTTTTTGCTCAGCTCTAACGGTGCTTTTTAGCCACTGTTATTATCATTCTTGTGATGCAGCGTATAATCCCTGTCAGCTCTGCGCATGTATCTGCTGCGGTCCAGAAGATTTTTGCAAAACCTCCCTCAGCTCGTCCTGTGTGTCACGGCAGATCCTGATAACTAAAGTGCACCAGAAATAGAAAGAGATATCGGTCACCCCTCGTCTAAAAAGGAACCACAAAAACAATCAGTTCAGGAGGTTCAGGTTCACTGTTTACATCATTCTATATTTTGTATATTCAAATATTTATTTTTAAAATTTTACATTATATTTCTAGATTACTGTGTTTATGTGTATTAGTAATTTGAGGGTTTATTGCATGGCCTTGCGGAACAGTCTTTACATTTCACTGCACGTCTGTATGAGCATGTGACAAATAAATTGAATCTTGAATCAGAGAGTATAACGTTTGAAGGACAACGGCCTTTGATTATTGGTTTGTTTAAGGGATGGAATAAAGACCTTTCTGCTAGAATAGTTTTCCATCTTTTCCCCTTTTTTCTTTCAATCTCGCTCCTTTATCATCTGCTCACCCCCCATGTCAGCGTCTATCCTGACCTCCCTCCACTGGAAAAAAGAAATGTCTCCCGCAGTAGATTGTGTGTTAATATAGTGTTTGTATACGAGGCAGTCCAAAGCCAACACAATCCCTCTCTCTGTGCAGTCAGAGATCATATCGCTCTCTTGCCTCCTCCTGCCTTTTTCTTTCTTTTTTTTTTTTTAATTCTTCCTTGAATCTTTGTCCCTGGCCTGCCCCTACATGTCTCCGTGTGGCTGTAACCCTGTTGTGCCACTGAGCAATATCCTGTTGTGGCGTTGGACGAGGGAGGGGAGGGAGAGGTTAGGGGGGGTCAGTTTGAGAATGTCCTCTGCAGCGATGACAGGTTTCACACACACAGGTGCATGAGCATCTCGGCATCAGTGCACCAAACATTCTGTTGGAAAAGTCTGAAAAAGTCAGGCGGTTAGGTCTGGCAGAACAAAATGTACTAAAAGTTTCAAATGTAAACCTCGGATTATGGAGTCAGTTCCTCAGAATAATGATGCAAGTTCTTCTTTCTGAAGCTGCCATTTTGCATCGTTGACTCTGCAATCAGACAAAGAGGAGGCGGAGACACCGGCCTGAAGCTCCAATTAAACCTGAATGCAAGCCGGGTGATTAGAAGGAATATGTAAAAGATGCAGGTTATGAGAAGAGGAATTCTCCTGAGAAACAATAACTAAACTGTAACTATATTGATAAGCACAATAACCAAACTGACATCCTTGAATAACATCCCTGAAATCAGTACAATCTAAAATCAAAGCCAGCTGAAGTCGATAAAACATAAAAAGCTATACGATGAATATTTTAAAATCCAATGTAGCTTCATAATCTCGCAAATCACAAATCAAAATGTAGACCAAAAGTCTCCTTTAAACACTTATTTAAAATCTGTACGTTTGTTAGTTTAGGTTATATTATAATCCTTTTTTTTTTTTTGGAGTATCTGAAATAGTTGTTAACTAATGCAAAAGACGATCTGTTGATTTCCCATGACAAGATTGCAGCAAACACTGCTGCCTGTACAGCTACCCATCTAAACAGGAACTGCTGTGGCTTAGTGGTAGAGGCGGTCGTCTCTCAAACCGGAAGGTCGGGGGGGGGGGGTCACATACACATGGCAGGCAAAGAAAGAAATTAACATGTTTACAGCCTGGTACAGAAAACAAATAGGCTGATGTCACTCAGGCTTAGTCCTTTAATATTTACAGTCTATGGGCAAGATACTTAACCTGTGTATTTAATGGGAAACATGCTGCAGTATTTTTTTTTCAAATCAAATCTCTTCACTCTCTCCACATTGGGTAACACAAAGACTTCCAACAAGTGTCAGTGGTTTAAACCTCAGACTTTGAACCTCGACCTACATTAGCTGTGAGCGTCTTATCTTCAGACAAGGACACATGTCTTACGATGCACCTTGGCATGCTGAACGAGCTGCCTGATAAATATCGAGGGGAAAACCACACACGGCTAACCTCAGCGTGTAGATTACGTCCATAATTACCCCGTTAACACATTTTAATTTAAATGTTGAGGTGTAGCACAAAATGGCATGGTCATTATTTATGTGTAGCACTGCTGACTGATGAAGAGGCTCCATCAGTCTGTGGTAAAAGCAGTCGCTTCTTTAATTCCTAATATGTACTGTAATGTGTTACATTAAAATACAGAGCGCAGCAGTGTGGTTCTCTCTTTCATTTTCTCCAGAGCGGATTTCATTATGAGCCACAATGTCATAAACATCTCAGGTATACCGACCATGAGTGTGAAACAACAGTGTATGCTCCAAGTTTGTATGATTTGAACCTCCTGTAAAAAACAAAAAACAAATGTGGTTTTATTCGGGATCTAGGGGAAAAAAAACTACACTACCCACAATCCTAGAGGTTCCAAGAATTAAAAATGTTGATGTAAAGATGACAGCTGGGATCAGCTTCAAGCCCACCGCTGCTCTTTGTGTCTTTTCTGGGTTCAAATATGACTGAAGATGTTGAGTTTTTAAAAAGCTTTGGTACTTTTTCGATACGATATATCACTTGATAATACAGATTATATTGTTCTAAAAGACGTGGTATCAAAGCGTCAGAAACTTCACAACTTCCATCCAAATAAAGTTGTTTTTTTCAGTCATCAAAAGAGCTTTATTACTCTGTAGTAATGTATCATTAGTTATGTGAAACTCCATCACCCAGGCTAAATGTCCCAAAGTGAATGTTGTAAAAATGGATTAGTTTTGATTTAAATTTCTTGTTCAGTTCAGTAAAGGCCCTCTGAAGCTCTGTCAGTCCAGCTGTGGTTCATTCTCTGTCAGTTATCTGCACAAAGCCCTCACAGAGCCAAAAGCAGCTATAGGCATCACCGCACTATAAAACTGTGCAGGGCTTTAGTTAGAACTGGTGGGGGGAAAGTGCCAAGCTAAGCACTCGCTGGGCTGCAGCTCACAGGAACCTTTTTTTTTTTTTTTTTTCTTTCAGGAAGAAGCCACAGTTAGATTTTAGATCAACATGTCCTCTTTTTTTTTTTTCTCCACCGAGTGGACAAACATCTGATACATCCCTCTACCAGCATGTTTTCATTCAGGGCCCCCACACTGCAGAGCACTCATAACATCCCCTGTCTGCCTGTCTGTGTGTGTGTGTGTGTGTGTGTGTGTGTGTGTGTGAACTGCACTCACACACACCACCATCCCTCTGTGCAGTCGGGGGGAAATCATGGGGGCAATTTGTAATTTTTTTTATTTTTAAAGATTTATTTTTGGGCTTTTATTGTAGAGATAGGACAGTGGATAGAGTCAGAAATCAGAGAGAGAGTGAGAGTGGGGAATGACATGCAGGAAAGAAGACACAGGCTGGGTTCGAACCTGAGCCACCCGCTTGGAGGACTGCAGCCTCCATACATGGGGCGCACGTTCTAACCACCACACCACCAGCGCCCCCAATTTGTACTTTTTATTCGAGGAAGTGAAGTCAAAGTTGGATTTTAAATTTGATGAATTCCCAGCATGTACCTGTATAGTCTTAAAAGTCGTGCATTACCATTTCATTTTCATAGTTTGATAAGTGAGGCAATAAAGCAATTAAGAGGAGACAAGACGAGATAAAAATGATATCAAGAGAGAGACGTGCAGCA